TCGAATTTGATTGTATTCTATTAACGATTTCGTCGAATAATGAATGCTGAATTTTTTCGCAATATTTTTTAATATACAATTTTTTTTCCTAACACCTGACGGTATTTTCCCTGCTTTGATCCTTATAAGTTGCAAGAGTATAAAATATTCGGTTGCACCCGAACTTATCCCTTCCTTTCTTGTTTATCTAATAAGTATTCATAATGTTCTTTATTAGTTGGGAGTTCGGTTTCGGTTTTCGAGATAAACATATTCTACATTATGCCATTGCAATCAAAGACCCATGTTTCGTCACAGATTTTTATATTTTTGATCAAGTGCAAAATTAACACAAAAAGTGCAATCACTGTCAAAAATATCGAAACTCAACTTTAGAAAATCCAAAAGGTAACACAAACTCTGTTTCTGATAAAAAAAAAAAAGCACATATATTATATTTCAAGCACTTAGCAGTGACTTTTGAAGGCACACAAAAAGTTTGCAAAATACGGCACAAATTAGTGTACCGTTTTCTAACACTAAATCGGTTTCATGAAGATATTTGGTTTTAATGCACGGGTAAATACCAGATTTCTTTAATAAATATTAAAATATATTTTTTGTATTTTAAATTGCTGTTTCTTTATCAACTCGTTAAGGCTTATCTTATAATCACCAATATATCACATAAATCCACATCTTAAATCCATGTTGAATGGTGTGGTAAATCAGACTAGTGGCATATTTACCTCTCAAAACACATTTGTCTTCAACGCTTTTCGATTATTCAGTATCAAAACCACGAACAAATTTTCTAAACCTTTCTAATGCTCGACTTGAAAAAAACTAAATCAGATATGCTCCCCAACAAAGCTAAGAAAGTTATCAGCAATGTAGTTATTCCCAAAAAGTTGGCGCAAAGTAAACAATTGAATTAACAAATTCCTGGTATCCAGGGACACGAGCATTGATTTTATACTGTTGACACAAGTTTGTGGAATTATGAGTGGAAAGTAATACTTGTCGTAGTAACTGCGGTTATTGGTTATTGTGATCTAGAAATGATTACATACAAATGTATAGCGAATTGCCCAATATGTTATTATTAGGGCTTATTCAAGATGTTCGTATGTAGAAGTATAGGTAATGAAAATAATTTATGGTTTTTACAACTTGAATGACATAATGTCAACAGAAATACGAAAAATTTACGAAATTGAACGAACACATGTAACCTACAGCTATATACAAAATTATGCTTTTTTGTTCCCATTTATGCTCTAAATATGAGAATTAGTATGTATGAATGCATATGTATGTATGTTCCATATATATATGTATGTATGTTCCATATACGAGTATTTCAAATATATTGCTCTTATTGTGCTTCCTTTCCGAATCATACAAAACCTGGTAAGGTTTCAGACAAGGCGATTCATTGTTGGAGGATTTCTTACATCTAGTGTTAGATAAAATTGAAATATACCATCTGATCAAAATTTATTCGGACTTGTCCATTTAAAGAACGTCGAGTTGTTGCGACCTCTACTGGATGCTTGAAAACGTAGCTGAGGACTCTATATTCATCAAACAGATTATTATTGGTGACGAGACGTCTGTTTAAGAATGTGCCATCGAAATGTCCAAAATCTAGCGAATGCCATTTAAAAAATGAGTCGAGACCGAAAAACCACGTCAAAGTCGGTCCAAATCAATCGCTCATCGGTTTCTTGGATTATCTTTTGTAGTCACCATGTTGGTTCTAAAACGGTCACACAGAAAATTGGAATAAGCGTTGGCATTTGTCTCAAATGCGTGAAAATATTTTTTTGTTAATCCGAGTCATATTTAATTAAATGGTATATCATAAAGGCGTACAACTGTTGTTGTCAGATATTTGAAAGATTTATGTACGCATTTTAAGCGTTAGCATTGGCGCACATTTTATCAAAGGCGTTTAATTAAATATCTGATTCATATGGACCGAAAAATTTATCTGTTCCGAAGTTTTTTAATGCGGACCAACCCGATTTCTTCCAGTAGAGTTAAATGAACTAACTTTCATTCCGTTTCGGTTAAGATGAGCTATTTTAAACTATGTAGTACAAGTACAAAAGGCAATTTTATGCATTTTCGATCAAATCTGAAGATTATTATTTAAAATTAAAATTTTTCATATTTATTTAGGGTACAAACATCACTGAGCAAATAATTGAGCAACATTTGCGAATATGAATATTCAAACTACGACATTTGCTTACATTTTTTCGGGCTTTTCGAAAAGATGACGATTTTCTTCGAAGGAATGATATAATATTCCATATCTATGATAATCAAACATATTGATTATAAATACATATGTATATATGTATCATAAACATAAACATATAATTAATAGTGCATAAAAGTGTAAATATGTGTGTAAAGATAATAAAGTGCAGATACTAATATTTCAAAATGTTACTGGAAGGAAACACTTTAAAAACAAAGTTTATTTCTATTTATACTTTTCGTTTATTTTTGCAAAATAAACTAAATTTATTTGCTTATTGATTTCTTGAACATTTGCAGTGTGTTTCATTTATATAAGTATGTATGGTGTGTGATTGGAAATGAATATGTGTTAGAAAGGTTATCGCACTAGGTGAATAAAGAACTATTGTACATATGCCTATGTGTAGATATTTTGCATACAAGTAATCATAAGCATGTCGACCTGTTTATATACTCGAATTTGAAGTTTGCTGTATGTACTACATACTTATATAGATTAATGCATCTGTATACTTTTCTGCATTGTGCATTTAATGTGCACACTTGCTTCTAGCAGCTCAAGCTACAGCGGTGAGAATTTACATTTCCATTGTGCGAGTTCTTTCTTATCACAAAATTCACTTTTTCTTAATGCAGTCGAAGTTGAATAAAATCTCCTCACCCCAATGACCTTCTGCAGATACCAGCGTCGGATGCATATAACATTGTCTGCTCGCGTATTAATAGGTACATTAAACTTACTTATAATATATATATAATATATATATTATATACACATATATATTTTTCATATACATAGATAGCTATTCCTTAGTGCCTCCGTCGAAAATGCGAATGCCGAATGCTGAAATACCTGAATTGCACCTGAATTGGCGAATTGGTTACACAAATTTCCTAAAGGCTTTAAACTCAACATGCATTGGGTGTATACAAATTTTATAAGTTTACATAATTATTTTATCAAACGAATTTACTAATTTCATTTAAATATATTCGATTATAATATAGATTAATAATAATAATTTAAACTAGACTAGACAAAGAAACTTTTAGTAAGTTGAAACCCATTAAAAAAGAAAATAACAAAATGAATGCAAAAATAATTTACGGACGAACTAAGAGTTACAACGTTTGAGCGTTAAGAAAAAGTTATATGGCAAAGTTGTAAGTAATAAAACGATGGGCAACATTTGTTTTCACATTACCTCAAAACTTATGTGAAAAATCAAAGATCCAAGTTTTTGGGTTTTTTAATTTTATGTACAAACGAAACTTTTTCACAAAATTTGATGAAAATTACCTTTATACTGGGTGTATGCATTAATTGTGCAGTTTTCTTTTGGAAATTAAGACTTTATTGTGAAAATTGTTATACGTTTGATGTTCAAAGTATTGCCCATCGAAAGCTACGATGTTGCCATCTTTCTGGCAGTTTGTGGATCCCATCCAAAAGAACTTTCCGGCTTCTGACACCCTGTTTTGAAGTGAAGCGTACTCGGTGAGGCATTCTGCATTGATCTGAACAGGTGGTAATCGGAAGGTGCTATGTCTGGGCTATAAGGCGGGTGAGGTAGAACTTCCCACCCACAGTTTTCCAAATAGTTTTAACTGGCCTTGCAACATGTAGCCGAGCGTTGTCATGATGAAAATTATTGATTCGTGTCTGGTGCATATTCTGGTCGTTTTTCGCGATGGCCTTTTTCAAACGAATCAATTGTTTTCCCATTGATCGTATCCTTATATAGCTCATAATAGAGCACACCTTTGTGGTCCCACCAAATACATGCATAACCTTGGCACCATGGATATTCGGTGTCGTTGGCCGGGTTTACATACGATCTCTTGCGCTTTGGGTTATCATAATGAATCCATTTTTCATCGCCAGTGACAATCCGATGCAAAAATGACTTCTTTTGGTGGCGTTGAAGCAACATTTTCGACATGCAGAATCGACGTTCGACATCTCTTGGCTTTAATTCATAAGTCACCCAATTTCCAAGCTTTTGGATGAATCCTAATGATTTTAATCGCCTGGAAACGGTTGCTTGATTAACTGCTAATACTTTTGCAAGTTCTTATTCCGTCTGGCATGCATCTGCGTCGAGCAATGTCTCCAATTATTCGTCTTGAAATTTTTTTGGCTGTCCGGGTCGTTCTCCGTTGTCTAAGTCGAAATTGCCACTTTTAAACCGTGCAAACCACTTTTGGCACGTCCGTTCGGCTAAAGCATGGTCACCATAAACGTCCAGTAAAATACGACGGCTTTTGGTAGCACTTTTCTTCATGTTAAAGTAATGAAGAAGAACAACCAGCAAAAACACTTTATCTGGTACAAATTTCGACATTTTCAAATGAATGAAACAAATTGTTGTTCACGCTAAAACAAATGACATCTACTGAAAACGACGCAAAATGACAGTACCTTTGAAATGAATATAGCCACAGATGAACACGACGCGAAATAATACTAGTAGAGCCCTCTCTTAGAAAACCACACGAATTAATGCATACACCCAATATGTCCGAAACACGCTGTATTTTTTTATTTCAAATATTTAGGAGGAAGCCCTATTTCAACTTAAAACAAAAAAAACTCTAATTTTCAATTAGAAATTCTCAAGTCAAAAGGTCAGAGTTTTTTAAAAAGTTATTTATGGTAGTTGAAATCTCTACAACTTTCTGATGGTGTAAAAAATATATGCATTACTATGTCAAATTTTCTCAGAAAATACAACAAAAAAAGGCACCACGTACATAATATAAAAATATAGATAAGTAACAATGAGCGAGTTTGTGTATTTTAGGAAAGCGTGAAATTCAGCTCTCTTGGAATACAAAACCTATGATCAGCAATTTTGTGCATGCACACATGCATTATAGGTCCAGCAAGGTCTCTATCCACGCCAGAAGTTCTCAATGAATGCCACATTTTCACAAGGGGAAAAATACCTACGAAAGTATAGCAAAAATTCGCAAAATGCAGAGTTGATTTTTTTTTCATAAATATATTTCAAAGTAAACTTTATAAAATACTGACTTACTCCGTGTTCAATTTGCTAATCCATATTCTTTTTGTCTGCTTTGCTAACACGCGTAATGTTGAATTGTTTCTTCAAAATCTTTAAAACAGTCGAATCCGTCTTTTTTCTTACTCAAATCACTGATATTTATCTCATCAAAGTTGAAACGGAGTGACAAAAAAACTACATTTTCGTGTATTTTGATACAATTTTACTTGTCGCTTTAAAATAGATTTCTTTTGAGCCAATACAGAATGTCAATGCTCAATCGAATTTTCCGTGCACTTGTTAAAAGCCTCGAATGGGCGCTTCGACGTCATATTTATAAACCCACGTCTCGTCACTAGTACTGATGCCTTTGATGAGTGTTGGGTCCTCAATTTAGAAAAAAAATGTTTGGCTATTCGGTTTGCGCCGTTTAAATGGCCAGTCTGGCCGGCTTTTATAAATCTTTCTTTCTAAAAACAGCATTGCATTTCAAATTACTGCGCAGGATGTTCGAAAAGTCAACGACATATCAAACTTTCCTCGTATAAGCTCGTATGTTATGATGCAACTTGAGGGAACTGCAAGTACATTTTTCTTACAAACCACAGTTCAAACATAATCGCCAATAGTTTACTGAGTTAATCATTTGAATTGGATTGGATTGGAAATTCTTATCAGTGGCGGCACAAATACATGCATATATGTCATGACACTAAAATGGTTTTAAGCGAGGAACAACAAAAGTTTCTGTCTAGAATTGAATTTAATGTCAAACAACAAAATAGTTTAAAAAATAGACATATGTACATTTATAAATAAATAATTATACTTAAGCACGCAAGCGATAGCTATGTGGGCGTTTTTAATCTTATTAAATGAAAACAAATAGTAAATCGTTTTAGCAATATTAGTAGCTCATGTGATTAAAATGTGATATTTATGAGTATACGGTGGAAATACTGTACTTACACATGAGCATACATATGTATGTAGTAATATTTTGAATCAGGACAAAGTCCAGTTCCAATCAAAACATAGGTAGTATTCGCAATGTTGGCGACAATACAAATACGGGTATTTCCGCTTTCAAACTCCCGCATGGAACTTTTAAGCACCGAAAACCACTTAACCTCACCTATGTATGTACGCATACAAAAGCACTTAAATTGTATACTTTAATTTTTGCGTCTTTGAAAAATTGCATACCAGCGCAATTTCCGGTTGCAAATCAGTTCCAAAATTTATAAAAATATTCTAGCTAATCGATCGGATTTGCAATTAATTATTTAAAAACACGCGCAAATACGTATGTATGTGGTTGCAAAGAACAAGAAATGCTGATATAGATTTTGGTAAATTTTGAAACGTGCATTTAAATCATATTTTTACAAATAAATGCTAACGTTTTGTCTACTCGATTTTGATTTGTTATATGGCATATTCAAGTGGAAATAACAGCAGCCAAAGTTGATTCAGGGCTTCCTTGTGTTTTAAGTCGACTATGACGGTTATTTCTGTCGTCGGCACACATTTAATCTTTGGCAGTCCGAATTTTGTACACATTATATGTAATTCTATCTACAAGTACGCAAATAATATATATCACTTTTCCTTTTTAATTATTCACATAATAGAACTTTGATCTTATATTTTATATTATATATTTCACTTTTGCAATGAACAAAAGTAAAGGTTTTCTTTAAATAGATGCCTAGGTAATAAATACCATAGAGGAAATGTTTGATTTTAAAAAGTGACTCATAAAATCCTTTAGCCATGCGGAGTCCGTAACAATTCTAACGTTATATTCAATCAAAAACAAAAAATTATTGCTTATGTTTTGTTATAGTAGACGTCGCAAGCAAGACCCATTAGCATTTCTGCAATGACTGCGCAGCAGACCCGCTCCTCATGTAATCAGTTTTACATCGCGGAAGCGAACCGGCTTAATTTAATATTAGACAATAGTTCTTGCATCAGAATTAAAACGTTCAGAATCAACGAATTATGGGTATATGCTGATACCATCGACCTTAACAACTGTGCCAATGCTTCGTTCGACACTATTCCTCCAAATTGGGCGTCATGGTAAAATAATTCGGACAATTTAATTGATTTTGGTAATATGCGAAAAAATTCAGGTTGCACCCAGAAACTAAAAGTCTATAGTATAGCTGATTAATGCATAATTATTTGTTTTGATAAAGTAAACTAATCGTTAACCCAAGGTGTTGTACCATTAAGTAAACACACTTCTGCTCAAGCGATGATGAAGATTGATAATACGAATTTGTATTGAAATAAAAAATAAGCACAAATCATTATCACCACTACAGAAAAAAATCCTTGTATATACTTGCTAACAAATATCTGTGGGCTCGTGGTTAACGTGTGCCTCGGCAGTGGCGGATTCAGAAGAGCGCAGTAAAGGCAAATGCTTGCCGCTCCCCCCCAACTGTATTTGAAACGCCGTGACAATACGAATAATAAGCTTTAGAATCAACTTGATAGTTTGTCTTAAAAATCTTAGGCTTCGAAGACAGTATGTACTTCACTGCTTATGGCTAAATAATATATACCATAGGTTTAAAAAAGAAGTCGAAAATTGTCTGGAGCCCAAATTAAGTTGAAATAATCCGCTACTGTATTTCCTCAAATTGAATTTTAGCCATACGTTCACATATTGGCACACGGGCATGCTACTGTACTTCTGACTATATTAGTATGTGTTCTCTTATATACTTTATTCCGGGAGGGATTTATTGAATTAAAAAAAGTGATAGTGAGTTGTACACTATGAGACAATCTCGCATCAACACATCGTTAATAATTCTTAGAGTTTTTATATTAATAATGAGATTTAAAAGATGAGACCCTATTAAATTGGTACTTAGTAGCTTATTGAGTTTTGGCATTATTGCAAATGCTTCGGGAATAAATTTCTTAAAATTAGTCTTACGGTTGCAGCTCAATTCGCTAGTACCTCGGATAAACATTCAATTTATTGTCGGATGTCAACTTGGTTCAACTATTTTGAAATAATTGCAGCTGTGGAAAATTCCACCAAACACGATTGGTTAAACGTAAACGATTAAAGGAAATAAATATGGCGACAGATATTTTAAAGAAACAGGAACAAGCACGTCAAATTCGTTACTCACGATCGAAATTTCGCCGCATCAACTCTTTGGATCAAATACCCGAAGATCCTGGGCAGGAACAGTTCACAAACACAACGAATTCTAACAGGAATCCAGCTTTGGGTTACCACACAGAACTGGTGCGCCGATCACCGCGTACGATTTCTGCTTCTATGCGACAAGTTTTACTCTTTTGGCCGCAATTGCTGATCAATTTAACATTTACGCTCATACGGTTCATCCTTTATATACCGCTATCGATAGCTGCACCTAGTTTTTGGTTATCAGCCTTATTGTGGATCTTTTGGAAGTTCGTTCGTATACCTGTAGCTCTCACTAAGTGGATGTTAAATGTCGACTCATTGATGGATGTATCAGCGGATGGCCCGCAACGTCACAGGCGCACCGTTCTAATTGGTTGTGGAAGTACAATTCAAACTTTGCATCTGGCACGTAATTTTTATTCCTCCGGTTCTCGTGTGGTGGTGTTTGAATTCGAAGGCCTGTTTGGACTGGCACGTTTCTCTACCGCCGTCGACAAATTCTACATTGTCCCCAGACCTAGCCCAAATAATATAGATAGCTACATAACTGCTTTGTGTCAGATCGTTAGCAAGGAAAAGCCTTCGGTTTATATACCCGTTTGCGCAACGAGTCCTGCCTATTACGATGCACTTGCTAAACAACATTTAGAGCTACTCGGCTGTGCCAGTTTTATACCGGGCGTCAATGAAACGAACGTATTAGATGATTGCTTGGAATTTTTCAAAAAATGTACAGCTCATAATATTGCTGTGCCACCCTACTCTGTCCTTACTTCCCCAAACGATCTACAGCAATTGTACGAGAACAATTTTATAAGCAATTTTCGAAATATCCTAATGGCGGTCGGTTTTCAAGGCCTAGTTGAACGTTTTAAATACTTATTACCAAATAATAGAATGGATTTCAAATTTAATCATGAAATAAGTGAAAATGAAAAGTGGATTGTGATACGTGATTTGCCGGGTGAACATTATATTACTTGCACAACTGTCAAGGATTCTCGAGTGGTATCGAATGTTACTTGTAAAGTACAACATGAAACGAAAAATTTGATACCTGTAACGCCATTACACGCACATAATCCCACCGTCATGTCCGACGAAGCTCAAATTGACTTTTGGCTGAAAACATTCTTCGCCAAAGTTCGTTTCCAGCGTAGCATCAATGGGCACATGAGCTTTCGTCTGATTAAGTGTCAAGGCACAGCGCAGTTCATTCCAATCGGTGTACGTGTCGGTGTCTCATTGCCATATATCTGCTATAATCGATCTCATGCTCAAATACTTTGCCGCACTATGAAATGCATTCATCGAAGGCAATTAAGTTTTACAAGCCCGGATGAAGAGTCGGCACTCGGCGCGTTGACAGCTAATTTCCGTTGGAGCTCTATAGAACGCTCCACCCCGACCACAGTGCTAGATAAAAGGGAAGCTCTATTCGCCTATTGGGATCCATTACCATATTGTGCTTACTATCATTTCCAATTGCCTCTTAAATCCGTCAAGATGTTTTTGCAACGGCGCCATCGATCGACAAAAACTTTATCGCCACGCATAACAATGCCAGTTCAATGAACGTATTGTTGTGTCGTGCATCGTGTACGCACCTAGAAGATGCGCTGCTACATTGATAAGCAATAATATTTTGCTTGATTTATAACTATTATGAATTTAAAAGCGCTGTTTTTGTTATTACGGATCACTTTCGTTACAAAAACGATTAAGAGAGTTTTATCCTCATTTGTCATACATACAAATATTATATATATCCTGGCATATGTTCGTATATTTATATCTTAACAACTATATCTAATACTAATCTGATTGATGAATATGGTCATTTTGGGTTACGTATATAAAGTAGGAAAAGTTAGCAAAATAATAGATTTGCTTGAAATTATGGGTAGACGGGGGCCAGAGTGAGAGAGATGAAATAGACTGAAGGTGCTAATAAAATTAAATGTCATAAATATAAAGGTGATTTTTATATTTATATTATTATAATTTCAAATGATATACATACATTATTTCTAGATTATTATGTAGTATGTCATAATGCTATATCTGTATATGCATTTGTATGCATTTACATAACACTCTTTATTTTCATAATATTTATTTTTACTAGAGTATAAGTCTCAGGGTTAAGAATTTAGTTTTTAAAACATATATATTTTATTATTTTGTAAACCAAATAAATCTTTTTTCTAATATTTGAATGTATTCCTGGTGTATCTAATATACTTGATCACAACCTATATCTTTAGGTAAGTAATTTTATAAAAAATGAAAAGAACTAAAGCGAAGAGTGTAAAATTATTTCGAGATTTTTTTTTTTAGTTTATTCTCAATTAAATAAAAAAAGATAATATCATCTAAAAAATTTGACTCGGACTGGTCCATTTAAACTGCGCACGCAAACTAAATCAATAAAAAAATGTTGTCCAACAATCTAGGGAATGGCGCTCAAAAACGGACGGAAACCGAAATAACCACGTCAAAGCCCGTGAAAAATCAAGATGATGCTCATCATTTTCTCTGCTTAATGCAGTATGGTTCACAATGAATTTGTTCCCCAGGCTTAAACGGGAATACTACTTTGGCGTTTTGAGGCGTAACCGACCTGATTTGTGTGCAACAAATCCAATGATTCGTGGTTTCACCCCGATAATACCCGTCACATTATAGCATGATTGCGACTGACTTCTTTTTGGCCAAACGCGAAACGGGAGTCATCGCTCAGCCGTCGAATTCATCAGATTTGGATCCTTGTGCCTTTTTTTCTCTTTTCGAAACTGAAAAATTCGTTTCAGTGTTTGGGCCATGAGTGAATTGAAGCCATTAAAAGTCATTCGCTGAAGGCACTGAAGGTCATCCCAGCCGAAGCTTATAACCAATGTATGACAAATTTAAAGCGATAATAAGGATGTGTATACTTTAAAATGTTTGTTTTTTTTGTTTTGCCAGTCTATTAAATTTGACCAGATTCCGTTTTTTATTTTATTTCAGCTCACATGAATTAATAGAACGCCTAGCGGGCGTAGATCCTTATTGAAACAGGTTATTACAAAGATTGGCCCAGTAGCCACAATTTTGTATCAAAAACTCATTTTGTTTTTTTTACCACCCAAACACACATACTTTAGAAAGCTTGAAAGAGTTTATTCTTTTTACCTTACTCCCAGAACTTTAGACCGTTTTGAAAAACTCTAGGCTGATCTAAGCCACACAAGGCGCTACAATCATAAAAATTAGAAGACTGATGATCATTCTAGTTATGTTTAATCAAGTGTTATTGTGTACTACGGGCATGAGAAATCCATGTATTCCTTCAACTGTCCTGAGGTGACATTTAATTTTTAGAAGAACTTTTGCTAAAAAACGATTAATGCTGTAAGAACCATTTTGTTTTTATTTTTAAAACAAATAACTAGCGTTATTAGTTCAAGTAAGTATATATAGTATGCAGGTTTGATACCCATATTCGCTTTTAAAATATAAGTATTTATATAGACTTATGTACTATATATGTAAGTACAAATATGTAACACTCACGCAATTGCAGAGCTGCATAAATTTTTATCTTAATTTAAATTCGCGTTTAATTTTTTTAATGCACAAGCTTTTCAGAATATTTACAATACTAATTTAAGTAAAACTTGCTTAATAAATTTACACCACATATGTACATATGTATGTATGTGTGCATGCACTTAAGAAGGGCATTAGAAACTAAACAAAGAGCATTTAATTTTCTTTTAGTTTTTTTTTTGTTGTGTCAAATGCTAGTGGCAAAGTTTCCATGGCAATATGTATTTCTTGTTGTTATTTTTTGTTTGTTTCTGTGGCACCACCATACTTCAAGCTAGTAAAGTGTTTCATTCTTTCCCTTTGGATGAAAAAGAGTGCAACCGGCTTTGTAAGCTCACCTGACGCAAGTAAGGATATATATCGTCACTTTAAATTTACATATCGACCTTTAAAATGCAAAACAACGTATCATCAAAAATGCAAATGGAGTGTTTTATTCATAATGATTCACTTTATACAATTACATTTAAATATGTACATATGTACAAAATTTTTAGCTGCTGCTATCAGATATAGCCAAGTTATAACCAAAATTAAATTTTTCTTTAGTTTCTGTTTTATATCGTTTTTCCTTCTCCTGAAAATTTATGAAAATTGATGTTATGTTATTTTGCATTTTAGGTGACGACATATGTTTGCAGCATTTGTAATACGAAACAGAATAGTTTGTAACTACCAATATGTTCACTTTATTTATGGTCTGTATTTTGATGAACATTCTTTCGATTTTTATGATTTTAATTTTTATGAAAAAATGTTTATTGACATAATGAATTCAAGAACGTTGCATTGCTTGACGAGAACCATTTCAAGGACGAATTTTTGCTAGTTAGTTCTAACCACATAGTTTGATATAAACAACCTTCAAGTCGAATTAAGGTTTTTAATAAGAAAAAAAGATATTTTATGAAGATCTTAATCTTGATTTTGAATGGGAGCTACATGCTATATATTTCATGAAGATATACATATATATTGTCGAATAAAAAGATTTCTATACAAGAATTTAATTTTGATCAACCGGTTTGAAAGACCTCTATATCCTATAGTGGTCCGATATCGTGTGCAAATTTCGAATGGATATCTCAAAAACTTAGGGACTAGTTCGCGTATATACAGACATACGGACATAGTTAAATTAACTCACTTAAACAAACAATAAAATTTTATTAACTCCTATACAGATAAGTACTATAGTGCTGAAACAGCAAAAATATCATAAGTTAATTCAGATAATTTCTTTTCTAAACTCTAATTTTATTAGTTGAAATTATCAAACAGTTTAATTCATCATTCCATGAGAAATTGTTTGACTTTGTCGCGTTTCTTCATATCATTGATTTTCGATTAATGAAAAATAAAATTAAATTTGTGTTCAATTTTAGACTTTGTGTCTCTCGGAAGTTGACACAATTGAATCATCAAAACTTTATAATTTGTAGAAAACTTTCATTAAGTTTTTGCAATTGTTCAAGAAAATTGACAAATAACATTTTATTTTTTTGTATTCCTTGAAAACTCACGTTAATGAATCAATGGCATACTATTTTGGCGGTCTTTTGAAAATTTAGCCGTATTAAACTTTTGCAATAAAATTAAATACGATATTGTGTAAAAACCAAAACCTTCAAATATATGGATTCTTATAATATGACTTAATTTTTATAATGGTTATTATGTGTGAAATATCTTAACATACCGGACAAAATTAGGGTATATGTGAACAAAGAATTATGCTTAAATTTGAATTGAAAGGCAACCCTGGACTTGATAAAATTTAAGTAACACCACAGTTTCAGATTATTCATTTTAATTGCGTTAAAGTTATTTTCTGCTATGCAAACCCGGAATAAACCAAAATTGATATTACAAACGAAAATAGAAAGTATTTTGTCCGCGTAATGAATAACAGCAATATAAATAATGAAACGGAAGCAAATAGAACTTTATTCCGATTGCAAGCAAATGATATTGATGTCCAGGTTTCCAACGTAACTTCGGCTGATGTCCACAACGTTCCAGAACAAGGTACACCTTTAATCCAACAGTCTTTCGAAAATACAAGAATTGCTATAGAAGAGAGCTTAGAATTAACTAATGTGACAAGGAGTCCACATAACATCATGGAGCATTATGCACGACTCTTAAGAGATCAAGTAGCAGAAGTCACCAGGAGCCGACTTGGGAACATTATTGCTGCATCAGGGGGTAGCGTTTCGTCTCAACAGAATACGGCCGGAATAAGTTCCGTATCAAACTATAATACAGTCCGTTCCCTTCCCAATTCATTTGGAAATTTAAATAACGTTTTATCACCTGAAGTTTTGCGTTATTTTTCTACAACAAATAGTTCCGATGAATCTGCTCGACATTCCCATGAAAATGATATCAATAATCCAATTATGTTTAACTTAAGTAATCGTAATGCAGATACTCAAACAAACTCAGTTTCAGCGCGACCGCATGCTACAAGAGCATCAAGTTTAGTGTTTGACCATCATACAAATTTCCGCAATACTGCAGAGGGTGATATCAACAGTTTTACGACACCGTCAAGTGCGTTACATCAAACAAATATAAGAAGGGATGAGGTAGATGTAAGTGGAAATGTTTCAACGGATCAACAAATATATAGCATTCCTGTAATTCCAACAAGAGGCACAGAAGAGACAGCAACTTCAACTAATGAATTATACAACACTAGTTACCCGGACATTGTTATAACAACCATTCGTCACTGCCTTCACTATATACCCTTCGCATGTATACTGTTCGTAAAATTTATTTATGACCATTCATTTGCAATATTGGATATAATAACATTACAATTCATTATGTATTGCGTTAACAAGTCTTTGCAAGTCCAAGTTAAAAGACTTGATCAGAAAAATAACTTACTACTTATACGAGACTTACTACTGGTTGCTGCCGTAATTACGTTACGTTTATTGGCGGCATCGGCTCCACCAGATCCTTTTGGTTTGCTATTATCGCCTCCAACGAGCGAACGAAACATAATTCATCAGGCAGTACTTAATCTTCCCCAGGATACGAATATGCCTACAACCGATTCACCAAATACAATTGAGAAGACAATTATTATACCGAAAATAATATCACTAATAGCGGTTATATACTATATCGCCGTAAACGATCTTCTTCTTAAATTGATTACTATTTCAATTAAATTGGTCGTTACTTTAATACCACTGCGAGCCATACGACATAAATCAAGGGTACCACAATTAATGCCTGATTAATTCAAAACTCGAGTTTGATTTTGTAACATTCTTTATTTCAGACACGATTTTATGTATTCTTTGAATTTTTTTCTCAATTTTATCGGTCTTTGGTTCCCATTCGACAATGGTTGTTATTCCTTTTCGAATCGTATTCCGGTTTACATGCTGTGAGTAATTTTCTGAAATAATTTCGCTTTTGTAATAGTAATGTAAAATATAATTTTCATTTCTGCACATGTAGATTTCAGGTGTGATGTTTTCATCTACTTACATTGTACTCAAAGGATGCGAATTAGCCGATCGCGGTAAAACACTCAAGAAGTCATTTATCAGTTTATTGAAGGATGTAGTAAGTAATATTTTTTAAAGGCTTTTAAATTAATATACGAATGTATATTTTACTTATTTCATATATATTCACAAAGAATAAGCTGGGAAAACCGGAAAAAGATAATTTTGATACCTCCGAAGAGCTTTGCGCCATATGTCAAGATGCGTACGTCTCGCCTGTGGTGCTAGAATGTGGACACACTTTCTGCGACAACTGTGTTACCACATGGTTTAAACGAGAGCAAACATGTCCAATGTGTCGAGCGAAAGTAGGAGATAACCTGGCCTGGCACGATGGCACCACAACGTTCTTTTACCAGCTTTATTAATAACCGATCTTACAGAGTGTGAATTTAAATTTAAGTTAAAGTTCAATTTGTTTAATGTCTTAAATTGCTGATCATGTAAAATATTAATGCAATGTGATTGAAAAATTTTTGTTTTAGTTATTTATTACGGTTTTTTTATTGTACCAATGGTATGTTTTTGAAAAATTAATCCATCAGTTTGTGTTGCTAAACTATTAATTTTAGCATGTCGCTCCTTGCTCACAATTTCTTCCATTACTTCTGATTCCCCTCTGATAAGACGAACTCGTCCTGTACTTGGGTCAACAACACGACGCATTTCACTTTGACGCTTTTGATGCTCCTTTGGTGTGACAGGTGTATGAGACTTTGTATTCATAAGTTCTACCGGTATTTCAAAGCCACTTTCATCATTTTTAACATTGTTTTCTGGATGGCTGACTGCTGTGTCTTCAAATTCCTTTTTAACTTTTTTATGTTTCCGCTTACTTTTACTGTGTTTATGTTTATGTTTTTTAGATTTTTTCTCTCGTTTCTTAGTTTTTCCCATTTTAGAAGTCTCCAAAAAATATTTACAAAGTCTGTTTTTACAATGTTGCCTACACTATACTATGATCTAAAGCGAGAGCATTAAAGGCATTGTCAACTAGGTTGACAATATATGATAATGTCAAAAAAACCAGATATATAGATAATATATTTTTTCACTATAGTATAAACATTCCAGAAGGAAAGCATTGGGGAGTTATATTTGTTATACTGGGCTATATTCTAAGCCAAAATATTGAAAATAGTTTATATTAAAAACCTTCTTATATACCAGTAATAAAGGAATTGTTTTCGAAAACGTGGCCACCTTATAGTTTAGAAAGTTTTCAGTGATGAACTTTTATTAAATGAGCAAGACAAGGATCACATGAACTCATATCATACATAGTCACTTCACCTGAGCTTGCTTTAACAAGTAGTAAGGCAAAGATTATACGACGCTACACAAAGCGGGGTTTTACTAAAAATAAATTGTGTTAACGCTGAAAATTGGTAAATTACTTAATAATAACAAACATAGTGGTAATGTGAATAGATAATGTGTATGTGATTGTGAAGAGAAATACAGGCCACGTCATATCAGTAAATTGATGTTCATGTTAGTTTTCCAGGGGAAAGGGATTTGATGTGCGCTGTAAATAGATGAGAAATAAAAATGGCTATCATCGACTTGCCAGACATGTTAAGTTCTATTCTTCATAAACAGCAATAAGTTAAACAATGTGCTAGTTGTGTATTTTGTACCCGAACAATTGATTACTTTACAAATTAAATTATTGTTTGTTGTGTTGTAGTTTTTAGTAATTAACCTTTATTTTTAAGTGCAAATTTTTTTTTGGTTAACTAAAATGCAACACTGTATATTAACAGCGCGGTTTTCACTTTATTCTCACTTTCATTTTGCTTTGAGTGTATGGTTTGTATTATTCTATTGCTCTTTCCGGTGTAGAATGTAGTTTCTTTCGTAACGGTGTGTGAGAGTAAGCAGGATAGATTGATTATTCACCCGGTTTGCAAATTTGTTTCGTTTTTCTACGAGACCGACCTCTCATTCCTGTTCCTGTCATCGTTATTCATTCTCGTTGATTTCGTTCCGTATTAAAAAGTTTTCCTGTAGATTGTGAAGCCGTTGACTGTCTTTTTAGGATAAAGTTTTGCATGGAGGCGGGGGAATTAATTGAAAAGTAAGTAAATTTTTTGAGATTGCTTTTCGTAGCTTATCCAAGTTATGTTAACAGCTTAATTTCCAAGATAACAAAGGGAACATAGACATCATCCTGCGTTTCCTTGTGCAGCTGTGCCTATGCTAGTTTTGCGGCTTGGCGTGCTCGCTATTGTTCATTGCACGTATGCCTATGAACATATTCGCACACTCGTACTCTTAACATCAATAGAAACGCCATTCAGCCATATTAAAAAAAAATACATTTTGAAATTTGTAATCATTTGTTACTATCATAGTTCTTTTATTCTTCAAAAAATGAGTCGTGGTTTGCATTAAATACTTCACTAGTGGGATTGTACTGACATCGAAAATTCGTTGTTAAATTCACAATACTTTACTATATACTTAGGTAAAATATAGTAACATTTTACACTATTCTTCAAAATATTTCAAAATGGTACAAAAGAATATTAATAGATTATTTTAGTTACAGTTTGAAAGTAAGCGATCTTCCAAAATAAATTCAATCCAATAAACCGGCATGTTAATAATGTATATCGAGTTTTAAATTTCATTTTATGGGAGCATTCACAAGCGAATCCACATCTGAAATATTTACATTCGGTGCAAACAAATTCAGTTAGTTTATATATATATATTTTTTTTTATTCAATTTTATAGTTAATAAAATAATACATATATTCTTTTTACGTATGCATTTCACTTTTTTCTTTTTTTTCTAAATATATAGATAACGAAGGTCGTCTTTATCCAGTTTCCTATTTACCACGATTATTTTCAAAGCCAAGCTCTTCGTACTAAGCATTTCAACATCTATGCCATATGTAAAAACTAATGCAAAATACTTCTCCAAGAAATATATAAACATTCATTGTAAGCCAGCTGTTTGAAAATTTTTAAGCGAAATCCAGATTTCAGTCCAAATTTGAATCTTGAGTTATGGAAAAATTCTCAACACTCCATTAGAGTAGATAGCTATGATTTTTATAAAAAAAATATAAATAATATACATAGTGTTTGGATTCCTCTTCAAATAATTCTTTGTATTAAAAGAACGGTTAAAAGAAAATACTTCAGTCAAACCTGAAGCGCCCAATAATTTATTCATAATTTATATATATTTGTATACTCAGACATGAATGATACCTAAAAACAGCAAGTACTGTATTATTTCGCACATACAAGGCCATGATAAAATTACTATTCTAATATTTCGGCAATCGATTTTTAACGAAGTTGGTTGAAGTGTATTAAAATTGCTTAGATAATTTCATAAACAGTGCTGGCAATTTTTGTCTCTGTGATCGCAACAACTGACAGTATCAGTGTGGCAAAAAAAAAATAAACCAATTTGAACTTAAAATAAGTAAACAAATGTATATGATGGACGAGTCTCAACCAAAAACGTTGTACGTTGGCAACTTAGACGGTTCAGTTTCAGAAGATTTACTAATCGCATTATTCAGTCAAATGGGTCCCGTCAAAAACTGCAAAATAATAAGAGAACCCGGCAATGATCCATATGCATTCATTGAATACTCAACTTATCAGGCGGCAACTACTGCACTAACTGCAATGAATAAGCGTTTATTTCTTGATAAAGAAATAAAGGTATGTATGACTGATAGAGTACAATAATCCATAATTTAATTATGTTAATATATTTTAGGTGAACTGGGCTACTAGTCCTGGGAACCAGCCAAAAACAGATATTAGTTCACATCATCATATATTTGTTGGTGATCTCAGTCCAGAAATCGAAACAGAGACATTACGTGAAGCTTTTGCGCCTTTTGGCGAAATATCGAATTGCCGAATCGTAAGAGATCCCCAAACAATGAAGTCGAAAGGGTACGCTTTTGTTTCATTTGTAAAGAAAGCAGAGGCGGAAAATGCGATACAAGCAATGAATGGTCAATGGATTGGCTCGCGATCGATTCGAACAAATTGGTCAACACGAAAATTGGCCCCACCTCGTGAATCTACCAAATCTGGTAGTGGAATGGGCATGAAGGGAAATGTAAGACATACCTTTGAGGAGGTATACAATCAATCGAGTCCAACCAATACCACCGTTTATTGTGGAGGTTTTCCACCTAATGTAATTAGTGACGAAGTTATGCACAAGCATTTCATTCAGTTCGGACCTATACAGGATGTGCGCGTTTTCAAAGATAAAGGCTACGCTTTTATCAAGTTTGTTACAAAAGAATCAGCCGCACGCGCAATCGAGCACACTCACAATTCGGAAGTGCACGGTAATCAAGTCAAATGCTTTTGGGGCAAAGAAAACGGTGGCGAACACTCAATGAACAATGTGGCGGCAGCGTCCGCGGGCGTAGCAGCTGCGGCAGCAGCAGCGGCCGCTGCCGCCGGCACCATTATATCGCCTGGAGTACCGACCACACCACAACAAGCAGCAGCGGCCGCTGTCGTAGCTAACGCTGCTGCGGCTGGTGCAGGAATACCTGCACAAATGATGACACAACAGCAGCTAGCTGCCGCTGCACAGTATCCATATGCAGCAGCCTACCAACAAATGGGTTATTGGTACCCACCTACAGTAAGATTTAAAAAATATTTATATATAAAGAACGATTAAGAGAAAGTTTGAATAATTGCTTAGTTGTTTACACCGTTACAGGGCTATCCGGCCGCTCAAATGCAAACGCAATATATGCAACAAGGATACTATCCATATGCCTATGCTAGTGCTCAACAACCCGGAGGTATGTGATCTTAATGAAGTATTTTGGAAATTATTTTCTTAATATTTTTTTTTATTCATAAAATTTAGCTGCGGGTTACCGCATGGTACAACAGAATGTGGCATGGGGTGTACCAGGCACAGTTGTGCCGAGCGTAACAGCAGCGGCTGCCACAGCTGCAGCTGCAGCAAATGGCTCACTGGCTCCGCAAATGATGTATAGCGCTGCCATGCCTCAGTACCAGGGCCAATGAACCTGATATGCCCGTCATAGTTGTTGCAGCAAGTGGGTGATACGGAAGATTAATATATTAAAAGGCATTAAAAGCAAAACACCAAACGAATAAAACAAACCGAAAAGAAATACAAAAATATAACGAGAGCTCAAGTTGTGAATTAGAGTATCTACCTACTTATCTTCCCACTTGGTGCTGTAATCATGGTCAGCATTATTGTCATAAAACCTCTACATACAAAGCTACCTACCAGCAACAACTGTAAAATTCGCAAAGCAACTAACGTGACGCTAAACTCAACCACAGGATCATAGCCATTTTTGTCTTTAATATTGGATTGACTGCGAAAAAATTAAACACAACTAAAATGAATAGGATTAATTAGGAATGTAAAGATGACACACGGGGAAAACTTCTGCAGCAGAAATGTTAAGTATTGGACGCAGGGAATTGTTCTTGCTATCGTGCAAAATAAATAAGTTTCTTATAACGAAAAAAAAAACCATCAACATACAACGTAAACTTCAAAGCTTGTAATATTCGCTATAATCTCGAAAACATAAAAGAAACAACACAAACAAAGATGATAAAGAGAAGTTAGAAATTAGGTCGTTGTTAAATAGATTATATTTAAAATAAAGAGAACTTAATTATATAATGCGATCGAAGATAACTACGAAACAGGATATTTCAACTACAAAAACACACACACTTTGCTATTAACTTAACATTTGTAAGCAATTTACTTAATATAGCGAGAGAATTTTTTACTTTTCAATAGATTAACACAGCTTCAGAGGAAAAAGCACATTACTTCGAAATGTGACCAGAACTCCATCAATCAGGACATCAACAACAAAATATTGTAAGAAACTACTGCAAGTGGAACTTGACGGGCGGGTAGAATAAATGATCTAATCCATTCTACATATAAAATAACAAGTTAGGATATTTAATTTAATGGAAGAAAGTAAATAGAAAACAATCGGTGTGACAAGCTTTACAGTAAGTACGATGGCTACACACACCATTTTTGCGAGTTTGTAGCGACCCGCAAGAAATACAACAAACCGTAGCTATTAAGAGGTGAACACGTTGAATGGATGCAACAGAAAATAATAAAATAAAATTGAAATAAAGTTATTATTTCAGTAAAAAAGTGAATGCGATATACATATGTACATGCAAAATATTGAAAACAAAAATAAAATAAAAAATCATGCAACAGATTATTTCATTTACTAAGAAAATTATTCAAGTGTAGCTCTATACAACGGCGACGCCTTATCAAGTGCAACGTGAAAATAATATAATACCATTTTTGGCTACAATAACTGCATGCGAACAATTTGTATATAGCATACCTATGCTATAGTAGTCGTGATATAGGCGGTTTCAAAAAATGAACAGATTCTTGTGGAGAAAAGGTCATGGCAAAATCAACTCAGATAGTCACGCTGATCTTATGTATGTATTTTATAGGGGCTCTGACGTTTCCTTCCAGGGGTTACAAACTTCGTGGCAAACTTAATATACCTTGTTATCACTACAATAAGTCACGGATGTAGGAAATGATGTCTCTATGAATTCTAAAACTTTTTTTATAGATTATATATTATTTCTCTTTAAAGAAAGCCCTATGGGATGAAGTAAACTGCATTAAAAATCACTCAGTAATTCAAGCCCCAAGTATTTAAAAAGCATAAATTGATTATATTACAATCAATAATTTAAAGATGACAATTACAATATCGAGACATTTTTATTATATAGGGTGTTTTTTTTTAGAGGTATAGAACTTTGCAATAAAACAACTATGGATTATTCGATTGATATGAATTTTATTTATCCTAAAGATAATCTTGTAGCATTACATTTTAAATATGATTTCTGGCATATGACCGTCACGGCTAGCTCGGATGTAGTCAAATTTTCGATGACTTTCCAACATTTGTGGCCTTATATCGGCAATAACACGGCGAATGTTGTCTTCCAAATGGTTAGGCGTTTGTGGCTTATGTGCATAGACCAATGACTTTACATAACCCCACAGAAAGTAGTCTAACGGTGTTAAATCACAAGGTCTTGGAGGCCAATTCACAGGTCCAAAACGTAAAATTAGGCGGTCACCAAACGTGTCTTTCAATAAATCGATTGTGGCACGAGCTGTGTGACATGTTGCGTCGTCTTGTTGGAACATCATGGTTGTTCAATTCAATAACGGAAAACGTGGTGCGAAAACGGTCCATGGTTAATCGAATAAACTGCTCTGATGAACGATTTTGTCGACGATAAAATGGATGTAGTGCGCGATACGTATTCCGCACAGAACCATTATTTTCGAAATAAAATTGCACTGTTTGCAAGCGTTGTTCAGACGTGAGTCTATTCCTGATGAATTGCCAACATGGTATACGATGATTGCCAAACCAAACTGAGAATAAATCACTTGACAGCTGTTAAATCGGTTGCCATCTTAAACAGTAATGTCAACTTAAAGTTCTATACCTCGAAAAAAACACCCGATACAACAATAATAAGCTCGTGCAACTGACAAGGGTAGATCAGAGTATTTTTATGGGTGTCGAAAAAGAGATACATAGAAAATTAAATTATCCTTTTTCATGAAGAATTAGTTTCGTTAAGTTAAACAAAATGAACTTGTAGCTTGCCAAATTTTATTATGTTTAAGGTTGAGTATCATCCTATCTTATTTTACACTTATAACTAACATGTAGCTTATCGCAGTAGCTTTTTATTTGAGATACTATTTTTTCAAATACTACTTCAATGGAAGTTATTTTTAAGTTGTTATTTAAATTCAATTATATTTCAAATTATAGATAAGTGTACGAAAACATTAGTTTCGAATAACGATATAAACAATATTAAAAAACCGTTACAATAAATACTAAATAATATCGACAGATAACACTAAACATGATACAATTAAACGTACAAATATACATACGTGTTGATATATAAAGCGATTGTTAGGTTTTTTTTAGCGTATAGGGAATGTGTAAAATGGCTTATCGTTGCAAAATTTATTGATTAGTTGTTTATAATTGTGCAAGTTAAAAAATTACACGGCTAATAATTCTTTTTGCGAACATTTTGCACCTATTGAAACCTCATCATGTTCAAAATGAAAAATAAGGTTATTGAACAGAATATTTTACATTGCAGCATACATAACCTTACGTTATAGCGATTATATTCCCTTAGCATATTTTTCGCTTTTTTTTTCTGAACGGCTCAAGTACGTGGTTGTAACAAAAAAAAAGGTATATTATAAATATCATATATGTTAGTTATATACGCTTTTCATTATTTGACATTAATTAAATAATGATTTCGTTTTTATAAAAAAATCTTTTTATCAAAACAACAGATATAATAAGAAAAGGCCCATCAAATTCTAATGTAGTGGCATTAGCAATAGCATTGTTATAAGGCTTTAAATCCAGCTTCGAACAAAGCAGCTTAAATTTAATTTGTGTTTAGGTGAACATATTTAAGCATTTATGTATGCGAAGTGAGAACGTTATATATTATGACACAAACTACAAAACTTATTATTACTTTTTAAATATTTAAATTGTTATATCACCATACTCTTGTGACCATTTTTCATATGAGTTCAAACTCTGCGAAGCTACCGAACGCCGAATTCGTTTCAATGAATTGTGAAAATCGTTTTCGGTGATCGGGCGCATTGCACTAATATCTAAACATTTGACTTGCTCCATGTTAAGTTCACGTATTGGTTCAAGTGCAGCATCTTTGGCTAAAGCCGTTAGATCAGAACCTGAATAGCCATCGGTAAGCTTTGCCAAGCGGCGTAAGGCTTCTGTGCCGAGTGGACTACCTTGTTTCTCAAGTAGACGGCTCAACAATAGTTCACGTGTATCAATGTCCGGCAGCGAGACGTATACACGCTTTGTAAAGCGTCGCAATGCAGCTTCATCTAGCTCTTGCGGTCGATTTGTAGCGGCTAATACAACAATACGATCACCTTCCGGATTTCCCGGCAGACCATCGAATTCGACTAAAAATTCTGTTTTAAGACGACGTGAAGCTTCATGCTCGTTGCTACTACGTTCTGATAGCAATGAATCAACTTCATCGATAAATATAATAGATGGCTGCATTTCACGAGCCACAGCGAATAATGCACGCACCAATTTTTCGCCATCTCCAACATATTTACTCGTGAGAGAGGCCGCAGAAATATTTAAAAATGTCGCACTACATTCGGTTGCGACAGCACGCGCCAATAGCGTTTTACCATTCCCTGGTGGCCCGAACAATAGCAAACCCTTAGCAGGTGCACGCAAACCTGCAAATAAGATGAAAACGAATTTTATAGTCGCATATTTATAAAAGGTCATTTTGATTTCGTTGTTCACCTGTAAAAAGTTCAGGACGCACCGAAGGCAAAATCACCATTTCCTGCAAAGCCTGTTTAGCTACCTCCTGACCGGCTATGTCCGACCATTCTACTTTTGCACCGCCCTCTACGATCTCATCCAAAATTATTTGCACCAATTTTTGTTCTACCCCTTTAACAGTTACGGCTGGTGCAGTGCCACTACCGCTGCTTTGATTACCATAATTAGAACTCGTACTGATAGGAGTACGAGCACGTTGTGGTGGCGTATTTCTTCCCGATGTCTAAAAGAAAGAAGTTATACAGTTATATCACATAGTTAGCAACGAGCGGTAAGAATCAAAATATAAAAGCCTTCCCATTTGTTAAATTCATTTCTTTTTATCTTTCAAGAACTAGTGCATGCTTATACAGTTATGTGAAAAATAATAAGGACATTTAATTAAGTTGCAGTGCATTCAGAAACCATACTGTTTCCGTCAGCATGTTTAACTTTCTTTTTTCGTGTATTTATGGTTGTACGCTGCGTTTCCCGTTTTCTTACTTGATGAATACCTCGATCAGAGATAAATAAGTTTACTTTTGTGCCGGCAGACCAGAGAACGTTACGCTATTTCTCTTTAAGCCGAAGGACACGTTCTTTAGCAAACTTTACCCTTTTTTGCACTTTTTTTGGCAACGTTTTTTCGTTATTAGCACGACACGGTGTCCTTATTAAATCCCACAACCGTATTCTGACTTTGTTGAACACAGAATTGCTTTTTACGAAATGTGTGCAAATAAATTGCATGTTTCCAACGGAATTTGTTTTTATAAATAATGAGTTACAAAAAGATGCCGTTAACAGGCTGCAATTTTCATGGCTTACTAAAAATATGTTATACTTTTGTTTTTATTCATCCCTATCCTTATTATTTTTCATATACAAGATTACTTACAAATTGCCTGCGCACCGCGGGTGGTGTAGCCGCAGTTTTAACTGGCTGTCTTGGCACTGCTGTGCTACTTGCATTCTTCGAACCCAAATTGCGAGGTAACGTCTGGGATTTGTTAATTACCGCCAGATTTCCTGGACGTTTTGAGCTAACGGTCAATTTGCGGCCCGATGCTACAAAATAAGAGTAATAAAAATATGAACTACAAACAATAATAAAATGTTTCAATACTTACAAAAATAAATGATTAAATAAAAAAAGCAGAAATAAAAAATAAAAAAATAAAAATGATCCGACTCCTATAAAACATTGAAAAACAAACATTTTTTTTCGAAATCCTAATGGATAAAAAATCCTATGGTTTTAACTATTAATTTCATCAAATTAATATAGTTAATAATTCAACTAAATCTATACTATACTTGTTTAATACTTTTTATACCCTTAACAGTTTGCCACAAAGTTTGCAACACCCAGAAGGAGACCATATAAAATATATACAGAAATGATCAGCATGTTGAGCTGAGTTGATTTAGCCATGTCCGTCTGTCTGTCCGTCCGTCCGTCTGTATATAGGCGAACTAGTCCCTCAGTTTTAAGCTATCGATCTGAAATTTTGCACCGAAGAAGCTGCTCATTTGACGACCGATATCAGACCACTACAGCATATAACTCCCATACAAACTGAACAATCGGAATCAAGTACTTGTATGGGAAACTTTTTTATTTGACGTGGTATCTTCACGAAATTCGGCATTGTTGTTTAAGAGAATAATGCAATCTCCGAAGAAATTGTATATAACGGATGACTATAACATATAGCTGCCATATTAACTGAACGATCGGAATAAAGTTCTTGCATGGAAAACTTTTATATTTGACAAGGTATTTGCACGAAATTAGGCACGAGTTATTGTTTAATAACAATGTATTCTCCGCGAAAATTGTTCAGATCAGACTATATCATATAGCTGCAATACAAACTGACCGAGCAAAATCAAGTGTTTGTAAGGAGCCTTTGTATTTGTGAAGGGTATTATAACTTCGGTGCAACCGTTTTTTCTTATTTTTTACTTATTCTAGATATGTGCATACGTAATTGATATATATGGTAGAGGCTCATACATATTACTTGAAATCCATCATCAATTAGAAAATCCAAATTTTTCAATTGGACTTCTGAATTATGGTCAAGATTAAAACTTATTTAATTGTTTTAACTTACCTGTCGAAGACACTTTACCTCCTGTTGTAGTGGAAACACAGCTAATAGACTTATGACTATCCTTAGACAACTTTTTAGTTGTTCTTAATTTATTTTGAATATTATAGGAAGGCAATCGTGAATCAGTCTTCGCTAAAGACGTACGTGAGGTTGCAGAATTTTTATATTCTGAACCATTTACTACCATTGGTGGCACAACTAATACCTTATTTGTTTGTTCATCAGATTCACTAAGTTTTAGCGCATGCAATTTTAATTCTTCATCTCGTAATTCTGTATAGGCCGCATATCAAATTTTAACACATAAAATGAATGAAACAAAATAGAACAATGTATAAACAAAAATAAAAATAAAACATTACTACAACTCTTAATTATACAAAAACAAAAAGCAAAGGGATTATTGTTAAAATAAAAAATATGTACATATATGTATATACATATATATACATCTAAATATCAACTTTGTACAAATTACCTAAAAAGTGTAAGCGATCTCGAGCCATCGAAAGATTTGTTTGCATTTTGTCATGTAATCGTTGTGCTCGTTCCCAAACATCACCTCGACCACTCCAACAATCAACTGCAATTCCATCTTCCAATTCCTTAATTCCTTTCCTATACAATTCGATGGCCAGTTCTTTGTGACCTAACAAATGTTAATACTTGTGAAGTCATTGCCTCTTATTGAATAATTATCATTTTACTCTACTTTAATATAAATATAAATATATACATATGTACGTCATTTACCTTCGTTTTCTTCATCAATTTTCAGTGCTTTGGAAATGTACTCAAACGCCCTGCGGTGGTGGTGTTTTTGTTTAGCCAGCAGAGGATCACCAGGTCCCGGAGAACTAGATGGGTTTCCTCTTCCGGACATATCTAGCTGTTGTGCAGAACGATAACGCTGTTGACCACTGACTGCAGCAATATTTCCAATACCAATTCCAGTTCCCCCAGCTAGTGGATAAGTAGCCAAAGATGAATTACGCGAATGATATTGTACGAGCTGATTTTTGTCAATTTCGTTTGGTAAAGTACTTTCGTTTCGCGAGTTTTGAAACGATTTATTAGAACCAACAACAATTTCAATGTTACACTCTCGTTTATGAGGCCGATAGATCACTTTTGTGCTAGCCCCGTATACATATCGAAAAATGCAAAACAATTGATAAATCAACGAACGCAGTATATTGAAGAGGAAAATTATGGGAAACGAAACGATATAAAGATTTTGCTTGTGCACTGAACTGATCGATGGGGCGCCGTCAGTAGGGGTTCTGTCATATTCTGCGTCCGTCTCCTCGTCGGTATGAGAAGAGGTATTATTGTTAGATTGTGGTTGTGAGCGCCGACTAGATGACGATGCTGGCTTTGAGTCGTCGGCTAATGCAACACTGCAGGTACTAGATGATTTACGGTGTGTACGCGCGCCACTGTTTATATTGTTGCTGTTGGCGCAGCTCTGGCGGATAGGAGATTTAGTGCTACTGCTACTATTACTTGCACTGCCACTTGCATTGCCCGAGGATGACGAAGAAGTTGATTGCGTTTTGTTACGCACCATCGAAATATTTCTTCTCTTTGCGCGTTTATCGCACAGTTTGTATCAATTCAATGTATGTTTATCTTTTTTATACTTATCTATTTACTTTTGATGCAATAAAATCATGCTTTCGCATAAGTAGAATTTTCTACTTTCTTTTTAGTATTTCTTTAGAAAATTTTTTTTAGGACTGTGCCGCAGTTGTCGTTTTTCAATACATTTTGAACAAAATTGGTTTCATTTGTATCATCCCTTATTGCAATGACAGTTTTGTTCTTGTTAGGAAGTGTTGCATTTCGCATAAAAATGTACAGTGAAACCTCATACAGAAATTACTTATATATTTTGTCTTTTCTCATTCAAAATAAAGCAACTTTTTAAAAGATAAATAAATTTATGATAAAATAATTTATCTTATAGAGCTTTTCCTCATCCAAAAGTGTATTTAGAAAAAGATGGGTCTTTTGGAAAGAGTTTGTTATCATAACTGAGGCACCCCTGTTATTTTAATCAGCTGTTGGTCAGTTTCCTCTAGTTGTTCACTTTTTGCATAACAAAAACTCATTTGAGAAAGTTATTTATTAAACATGTCAAAAGCAGCAGGAAAACTTAAAATTTTAAAGAAAACAGCTGATAAAATTACACATACGACTAAATTAAAAACTAATATACCTGCTGGTATGGCTGCTGCTGGTCCTCCGCTAGGTCCAATGCTTGGTCAGGTTAGTACTGATATATGAAACCTCGTCATAATTCTGTTGTCATATTTTTACTCATATATATTACACAGCGTGCTATCAATATTGCTGCATTTTGCAAAGATTTTAACACACGGACAGCAGAAATAAAAGAAGGCATTCCACTTCCAAGTCGTATTTCAGTTAACAGCGATCGCAGCTATAACTTGGTTATACACTCTCCACCCGCAACCTTTTTGCTGAAACAAGCTGCCGGCATTCCTCGCGGTGCTATGCAACCTGGCCGGGAAATCGCTGGTATGATCACTTTGAAGCATTTATACGAAATTGCCGCAATTAAAATACAAGACCCACCTAATTCCTTGTTAACAATGCAGGTGAGGGCAACCAAAAAGAATTACAACACAATATACAATTGTGTGATTAAATATATATTTTTAGCAAATGTGCGAAATGCTTGTAGGCATTGCACGCACGTGCGGAATAAAAATTGTACGAGAACTTAATCCAGAGGAATATGCTAAATTTTTAGAAGATCGACAAGCAATTGTTGCAGAACAAAAACGTGAATTACAAGAAAAACGTGAAGCAAAGATGCTGAGGACAGGTTAAGTTTTGGTTAAAATATGTTTATTTTGCTTAATAAAAGACTCTATATAAAAAAAATAAAAATAATGCTACGCAATTCCAAGTTGTTTTCGATCCTTGGCAGCATTTTTCTTGCGGCGTTTTTCCAAATGTTTGTTGAGTTTACCCGATTCCTTAAGTTTCTCGAACTGGGTAACCAATTCTTTAGCACGTCGCTCCCCTGAAAAAGTAAGTTAATTAGCGGTTTTTAATGAACTATTTCTGCAATGGAACTACTCACTTTTTGTTTTATAATGTGGCTTAAGTCCTTTCTGCATCGCGTCTTGAATCTCTAATTTTTCACGTTTCAGCTCCTGTTGTTTTATGTGCCATTTTCTTTCCTCAACGTTTTTATTAACAAGCTTTTGGATCTCTGTTTGCAGACTTTTACGATCATCGCTGTTAGTCGTTTCACGTAATTGTTTACGTAGTCTTGAAATATCTTTTTGCCGAATTCTCGAAAGAAATTTATAATTTTCTTTGAAATGTTTTACATTAAAGTCTCCACAATTTTCATCAAATCGGGGATCACGGAATTTCTCTTCCGTTTTATTTTGTTTCATTTGTTCGATAGATACAAAAGGCACCTGTCTTTTAGCAGTCAATTCGCGTGGACGGTTTTTATTCAATCGTTTAAATCTATTAAGTTTATTACTGCTTGACTTCTCAGTTTTGTCATTATCTACTCCCAAAACAGCTTCATTGTATAGCTTTGCACCCAACTCCTCTTTTAATTTCATAATTTCTTCAAAGCTCATTTTACTAAGATCTTTCCGAATTGAGTCCTTTATACAAATTTTAATAAAGTAAATGCATTAATAAATGTGAATGAATATTGTCGCAGTGGTACCTATGTAACATAACAAAAATTTATCGCACCCTTTGTTCTTCATGTTGGACTGAATCCTCACTGTCTGAAGATGATGAGGACATTTATATATATTTAATTAGATTAAATATTATAAGATCACAAATTAAACACTGAAATAGTTTATTGTTTAAAAACTTTTGCTGATACTTGTACAATAATTAGTTATTTATAAAATAAAGTTAAAAATCACATTTAACTTTTGACCCTCAGAATGGTTGCAGCTGTCAAATTAAAAACTATATCGCGATATTTCCTCCTTACTGATATATTTATTACCGATTAATTTGTAAAATCGATTTTCGATTTTGAGCAGGTAACTGAGATACAATTTTTCATTCTATACGTTTGATATAATTTACATTTTATTCATAAGATCTTTGATAGAGATGTGTAAAGTAAATGCAAAGGTATTATTAACCTTTATTACATATACGACAAAGCAGTGCAAACAAATTTCGAGAACAAGTGGCTTAAATAGTAATTGAAAAGTTCTGGGGATTGCGCAAACTATTTAGCAACCCTGTTACTTAAAAAGGTCATAAGTTATCGATAACTATTTTTATTGCCTGTGTCAGAAAAAGTAAATACACATATATTTAATATTTCGCAGTCGAGAAAACAATATAGACCATAAATAGTTTCGAATCATTTTATCCTTGATATAGACGAGGTTTTCGTTAACTTCCATAAGCTAAGAAAATATGGTGTTTATTTATTTGGACAAGGAACTTCTGCTCAAAACAAATGTGGAAAAGTGCTTAGAAATCAAACAATTGATTTCACACAAATTTGTAAGTTTTACTTTCGTTAATAAATTAAAACCATTTAAAATACATATGTTTATATGTTTCGAAGGGCTTATTACCAAAAGAAATATATCTCGAGAAAGATGGACGTCGATTATCAATGGATGACAATATTTCTGGTGCTGCACAATGTCGCGTACGGGTTTTAGGTGGCAAAGGTGGATTCGGTTCTATGCTACGAGCCATTGGTGCACAAATAGAAAAGACAACAAACAGAGAAGCGTGTCGCGACCTAAGCGGGCGCCGTTTACGTGACATCAATGAAGAAAAGCGTCTTAAAGCAGTTTTGGAGAAAATGGGAGATTTAGAACGAGAATCACAGGAACGAAAAAAGCGGAAAATTGAAAAACTACTGTCAGTTCCTAAGCATGATTTTAAAGACGAGGAGTATGAAGACACTAGAGCGAAATTAGAGGATAAAGTAAACAGCGCGGTAGAGGAGGGTCTTAAAAAGAGTGAGGTTAAACCCGGTACCAGCAAAGATTCGCTGAAACGTAAGCACACAAAATCAAGCGTAGCAAATCCCAAAAAGAAGAAGAATGCTCTATGGATTGATGACGATCTTTTAAACTCTGACGAAAGTAGCAGTGAAGATTCCTCTGATGAATCTAGGGTACATAAAATTATATCCCTTAAAGAAATAGATGCAAAACCAAACAATATTCGACAAAATCCAGAAAAATGATGGAAAGTTGGCAAATTTTGGTATTAACTGGTCGTTCATATTCAGTACAATTTTGAATTAAAAAAAATATTCAGGCAATATAATGTTATAGTTTTATATTTGAATTATAATTATAGTCTAATACAAGAAACAAAGCCAAATTAGTCATTTGCAAACTGCGACGATACCCATGCCAGACCCCATTTCAGGTTTGTCAACATAAATTTTAAAGCTTTGGTCCACTGTTCTTCCGAGTTAAATTGTATTCTGTAAATAATCATATTTAATCATATCGTGAAAAAAATAAATGAGAAACTTACTTAATTGAATATGAATTTCCCGTGGACGGGTCTATGATTTTTCCTTTCTCCATTTTATATGGCAAAAGGAATTCAGTGTCACGTTTTTCTACTTCTTGCCTAAATTGCGTTAAACAATCTAGAAAAGCTACCATGGCAGCGTCGAACTTAGTATCCCAAAAGAATTTGAATCCTCCGGTTCCATACAAAGGCAACTCACGGTTTTCTCCAATCACTTCAACGTATGAATGATTTCCAAAAGGTACAATTCGATAGCGTTCAAAAGTTAGTCCTATTTTTCTTGCAAGAGCACATAACAGCAAAACTGTCTGTCCCCAGGCAGCATTTATTTCAGACCAATCCACAGAGGCAGAAGGCAATCGGCCAAGTCTAAAATTATTTATAGTACCAAAATGGCCAGCATGCCATATATGAAAGGTGATATTAAAAATGTTTGCATCTTTCAATTTTTCAAGTTGCTGCTCTGCATAACTTATTTGGCATTCGAGACTTCGTTTCTCATCCTCTGTGAGCATCAGTTCTCTTCGATGCTTCGTATATTCACGCCAGTATATTGCCTCTTGTTGTTGAAGTTTGATCTTCTCTTCTTCTTCCTTTTTAACTTCTTCATTCAAAGATTGCTCCTCTAGTTTTAGTTTTTCTAACTCTGCCAACATTCGGGACTCGTTTTCTCTCAGTTCATTCAGTTCTCGCTCTAAATCTGCGATGTTTGGGCATTCTTGTTGCTGTTCCAGATTGTCCAAGTAGTTTTTATAATCACGCCATTCTTGCTCTGCAATTTTTAATTCCTGGTCCATTATTTCTAACATGGAGTCAGCACAATCCCCACATAATGGATGATCAATTTCTGAATTCGAAGAGAGGCAATCAAATAATTCGGCTTTTAGTTTGAAAGAAGCACTCAATTTCTTTTCGCGACCATCCGAAACAAGCATGAAACCAGTGCCATTAATTGAATCCGACAAACGGAATGGAGGTACAAAATGATCGAAAACATTAACGTTATGAGTGTCTAGTACATTTTCATTACCCGCATAAATAGGCACTATAAAATACGATTAAATGTATAATAATATTGATAAAGAAAACTTGTTATGCTTACATGCAAGTTCTGCCATGGAGTGTACATCGATGTTATCCAGACCTTCCTCCAAAAAGATCGGTTGCATACAACTTTGGCAAGCAAATGATACGGCCACTTTATCCGCCTCACTCATTTTAATATTTTACTAATTAAACAAGAAATAATTACGTATTCAATAAATTCACCTGCATTGTCTTTGTTACCATTATGCATTTTTTGTATATGTAGAGATGGTAAATTTATTGTAACTGATTTCTCGATAAATCGTTTACCTTGTAATTCAATCTTGAGCTCGATTACTGGATTGTTAAATTAAAGTCCAGATTTAATGCTATACACTTATCTATATTCCCAACTCCAACAACTTAACACTTATTGCTCATTATTCAAGTTTACAACTTATTGCTTATAGCGCAATTGCTCTTTACACGGCAACACTCTAATTAGAACTGTGTTTGCTGCTCAATCCGGCAGAACTTATAAAGTGGGTTGTTCTTCGCTACTCAAACATTCTGGCAACTACGAATTTTGCTATCTAGTTGGTTCTAGCAATTAACGTCGATTATGAGTGCTCACCACACTTCCACCCATATAAGTCTGATAGTCTCGATTAGATATATTTGCGGTACCAAACGCTGCAAGCCGTTCCAGATGAACTACCTTCATTTTATTCCTTGGTCTTCCAATGGTCTGTATGCGATACACTACATCATTGAGTCGTTTAATAACCTGGTATGGTCCTTTTCAATTACACTGTAATTTGGGAGACAGCCCTTTTCCTTCGTTGTGGGTTATATAACAATACCCAATCGCCTTCAATAAAACCATCAGAGTGCATTGACTTGTTGTATTTAAAACAGGTCTTTGTTTTTTCTTTGTTTTCTTCGTTTACCTCCACTTGACAGTAACCACTTTTCAAATCAAGTGTTGAGAACCATTTTGTGCCTGACAACAAGTCCAGTGGGTCATCGATTCTGGGTAGTGGATAACTCTCTTTCTTCGTTACATCATTCAATCTTCTATAGTCCACACAGAACCTCATGTTGCCATCTTTCTTCTTCACAAGTATTACACGTGAGCCCCATGGACTCAGATGGTTCGATTGCGCCACTTTCGCTCATTTCACGTGTGGTCTGGCTTACAACTTCACATTTTGCTTAAGAACCGCTTCGGGAAGCCCGGCGAATTGGTCTTACATCACCTGTGTTAATAAAATGCTTCACAACTTTGGTTCTTCCTGGTTTTGAATCGTCTTTATCATATATGGATGAGTATCTTAAAAGGAGTTGTTTAGCCTTATTTTGATGGTTTGCCTCTCGGTCCATGCGTTAATTTCGCTCGATATGTCGATTTCATCCATGGAATAATATAGTCCCTTTGGAGAGTTTGATTGGTAACTTGCACTCATTAAGTACTTTTACGGGAACACGTTTATCTTGTCTTGCCATAGCCAGGATTTTGCCATAAGTAAGTTTGGTGTAGATTCTTTTGCGACCTCAACAATTCACTACTTGTTTGGCTCATAGTCTTCATCTGCTTGATATTGGTGGAATCTGCAGGCTCTCTCTTGTTATCACTCGTCTAACGTTGTACTTATTATCGCCACCGAACATAAGTGGCACTTTCATATTTGTATAGGACATAATCATAATGTCAATTTTAATTTCTTAATTCGCTAGAAAGTGTACTCCAGTTATGACTTCGTCGTCGATATCTGTCACTATAAAATTGTGTAACATGGCTGCCTTTCCCATTATGATCTCGCACGTTACTTTTCCGAGAACTTGGGTATCTTCTCAAGTTGCAGTACGCAACTTTACCCCAGCTAATGATCTCACTTCTTTTTTAACCAGATCAGATCGAATTATGGAATGTGATGCGTTCGTATCCACTGTCAGTATGTGCTAAAAGTAACGGTTTCCGCAAACGTCAGTTTTAGACATGCTAACGCAGCGAAGCGTGTACTGTTATCTCGTTTTTAATTTACAAAGGTGTGAATTTTCGTGTCCTCAATGTATTCCACGGATTTATGTGCATAAGCTTAATGAGCTAGCCTCTCAATTTCTGTAGAACCTAGAACTGTGGTCATCGTTGCGAAGTCCACTGGGAGACCTGTGCTGATATACGTGCATCGTGTGCTGCAAACTGTTCTTCCAACTGCGTTGACAACCGCGTTTGTATCGAGAACAGTTGGGATTGTTGTGCCAACATTTATTATGACACCTCTGCTATTTGTTGGATCACATGCATGCATCCTGCTCCCTTAATTGTGACGATATTTGCGTTGACATCTGGGACATTTGCGCTGACATCTGCGACATTGCAGCCAAAATCATGTTTATGTCCATAGCGTTTGATGAGCGAGTCACTCCCTTTTCTTCTATCTTCGTTGTCTCTTCCTCTAATTCCAATTTAAAGACATATTCCTCAACATTAATGTTTACCGCCTCCATGGCCTCTCACAACCGTGATTGTAATTCAGTTTTTAATCCATTTGTCGTTAAACCACGTTGATCCAGATCCTTTTTCAGTTGTAGAATCTTCAGATCGTATATAGCCATTTTCGAACAATTTTCTCTTGGGAATTTATTTGACAATCCCACTTCTGACACCAATTGTAACGGATTTCTCGATAATAAATTCGTGTTCGTCATTCATGTGCGATGGTTTTTAAAATTTTTTAAAAACATGATGTTGTTATGGTCATGGTTTATGGTGTAAACGCTTGCATCACACACGCAGTATATTTTTTCAGTCGTAAGCAAACTTCTTTGAAATTTATCGAAGCCTTCTGGATGGCTGGATTATAAATTTTTTAAAAAATCATATAACATTAAAAAAAATATAAATAAAAAAAAATTATAACAAATATATAATACAAGTCATAATAAAATATCATGGTTTTATGATGAACGTTTTAAATTAACATGCACGTTATTCAAAAGTATTTGTGTCGTTCCCTGAAATTTCGTTTCGCACTGCTTTTGTTAGCTATTTTTAGCGGGTTTATTGTTGGCATCCCGCCCTTTTTGACATCAGCTGTTCGAAATTCCCTGATTTTAATAATCATGGAAAGAGAATAACAGAAAAATCAGCGAAGATGAGAGAGTCTCGCATCATGTCATCCTTGTCATTTAATCCTTGATGTTACTTCGTTCACAAATAACAGAGAAATAAAGTATGATTGCATGTTCGACCGTTTAAACGAAAACCAGTTTTTTTGCATCCATACCATGTTTTCATACAAAAATGACCGTGTAAAGGCAGCTTTATATAGTAGATCCTTAACAAAACTTCGCCATTAGAACATTCTGGCAACTACGAATTCTTATTAACAAGTTGATTCTGGCAATTTATCGTCGATTCGATTTTGTTCTATCATCCGTGGCCGTCGCAATACAATGATTTAAATTTGACAGTCCTTTGATGACAGACTAAGTTTTATTACCACTCCGAGAAATCAGCTGACTTTAACTTTTTTCGGCAATTGTGTATGAAAATTGTATACACCGCAAGAAGAGTATTCAGGAAATTAATTATCTTGAGTCTATAAAAGAAAAAGTGGTTAAAACGATAAAGTATCATTCAAATTGCTAATCGTAAAAAGTTATTGGCATACACGCAAAGTAATCTTACAACAAAATGGTATCATATTTTGTACCGCGTGGGCGCTTCCTTATCAAAGCAAGCAGTTTGAGACAAGCAGCTCATTTGAAGCAAGTCCAACAACATGATGAAGGAAAATGGCCTATGTTTCGTAATTTTCGTCAAACTTTTTCAATAAAGTTAGCTAAAGGTAAAATACCTAACAATTCGAAACAGGCAAATATAAAACCAGTTGTTCGTTGCAACAGCACCTTGGGAAAGATCGGTCATAAAAATGAAAAGAAATCCGATAAACAAGATCTTGTGAATTCAAGTGTTTGGACAAAATGGACCGGCTTTCTTTTACGTTGGACACCTGTTGGAATTTGCCTATTTGGGGTTATAGAGTGGCAGCTACACAAGCAAAAATGTGAAAAGGAAAACTTGGCTCGTACTGCATCGTCTTTCCAATCAAAAGTATACTGCTCCTTACCACTCCGAATAATTAGTCGATGCTGGGGCTGGTTAGCTGGATGCTATGTACCTGTTTATTTGCGGCCATATATTTACGGTTGGTACTCAAATATGTTCGGTGTTAATTTGGAAGAAGCATTATATCCTGATTATAAATACTATAATAGCCTTGCGGAATTCTTTACTCGACCACTACGAGAAGGTGTGCGTCCAATTGATTCCAATGCTGCCATTATATCTCCTGCAGATGGACGAGTTTTGCATTTTGGAACTGCACAAAACAAGTTAATAGAAGAAGTGAAAGGTATTAAGTATAGTGTATCGTCATTTTTAGGACCAGTAACATGGCACAAACGGTTAACCGGTGAATTCACGGAAGAATTGAAAGAAAATAACGATGGTTCAACCGAACTTTTCCAATGCGTAATTTACTTGGCACCTGGTGATTATCATCGCTTCCATTCGCCAGCTGATTGGCAACCAAAGTTAAGACGTCATTTTGTCGGCGAACTGTTATCAGTTAATCCACGCGTAGTCACTTGGCTTCCCGATCTGTTTTGTCTGAACGAAAGAGCTGTGTATTTGGGCAATTGGAAACATGGTTTCTTTAGTTACGCAGCAGTAGGCGCAACAAATGTTGGTTCGGTACAAATATATGTGGATGAGAATTTAAAAACAAACCGTTGGATGGGCTTAAAATTTGGAGAACATAGAGATCGTCATATTTACGATGAAGTTGAATTATCGGATAATAAAGTCTTCGGACGAGGTGAATTGCTGGGACAATTCAATATGGGTAGCACTATTGTGTTATTGTTTGAAGCACCAAAAAATTTTAAATTTAATATAAAGATTGGTCAAAAGGTACAAGTCGGCGAATCTCTAGGTATCTTAGAGTAAGCCAATCAAGCAGCCACTATCAGTGGTCTTTGATAATGAAGTTCTCGAAAAGAAGTAAATATATGCACACGATTTATATATAATCGTGATGACACAATGGATATGTTTGAGTGATGATGTACGTACCAGTAACTGAATGTGATCCACATGCACGCATTAAAGCGTTGTCGAAGTTAATATATTTTGTATAGTGTGTTTTTTATCAAATCCGTTCGCTACTAAAGGAATATGCTAACTTAGGCTAAAAGCTTGAAATTTGTTCAAACATTAAGAATTTTATAAGCAAGTTGTGTATATTTCTAGTACAGAGGCTGTAAGCGGTTCCTTGTTCCTCTATGAAACAGAAATAGATATGATGAAAGTTTAAAATATTTGTTTACAATTATTCAAAACTAATTTAGTTGCTCATTAATTTAATCTATGTGCGTGAAATGTATTAAAAATAATTCTTTATCATCTATGTTTGGATATTATTTGCCAATTTGAACCTCTCAAACGTTTGGGGTAAAAAATGTGTTTTATGATCAGATATTGTAATATTTTAAAGAAGCTAATAAAAATAAATTATAAACAACATGCAGACATACTATTACTTAGACTGAATTATTTTGCAGAAATGTCTAATAGTTTCCGGAAATAAAAGACAAATTGGATTTCCATTATCTGAACTGGTAAACAAATCAATAATAATGTCGTGATATAAACAATAGAAAACAAACTTTTTAAAAGACGTGTGTACTCTATATTCCACTTGAACATCCGCTTTACAATGGAGAAGTCAAATCCGCTTATGGAAATGTTTGTACTGATAAGAAATCCAAAGCAGAACTAATAATATAACGTTCATTAAAAGTCTAAACACAAAATACGTTCGTCCATACACATACCTATTCATATGCACATGAATGCTTGCCGTAAATATGTGCCAATCAGCATTCCAATTGACCTATAGCATGCCACCAACTAAGATGTTATTTCCCAGACCAATTAGTTAAAATTTAATCCACGTACATACATATATATATGTATTATAAATTTTTAATATGCAATATAATTGCATATTCAAGATCAAGATTAAGATCAAAGATTAAATCATTCAATCATATTTTTATAGTTAGATACATATGCATATATACATGGGTACATTTATGTATGTACATTCCAGTGTAGGACAAAAGAAAAACAACATGTTTTGGTCCGTTACTTTAAAATTCTACCTTGACACTACTTTTGCACGAAAAACCGATTCGTTATGCCACTTCTTCAATTTCGATAAATTTGGTGGATTTTATCTTTATACTGTAAGCGGTTCCTCTATGAAACAGAAATAGATATGATGAAAGTTTAAAATATTTGTTTACAATTATTCAAAACTAATTTAGTTGCTCGTTAATTTAATCTATATGTTTGGATATTATTTGCCAATTTGAGCCTCTCAAACGTTTGGGGTAAAAAATGTATTTTATGATCAGATATTGTAATATTTTAAAGAAGCTAATAAAAATAAATTATAAACGACATGAAGATATACTACTACTTAGACTGAATTATTTTACAGATTCATTAGAAATTATTAATCGTTTTTTGAGATAAAAGACAAATTGGATTTCCATTATCTGAACTGATATCAATAATAATGTCGTAGTAAAAACAAATTAAAAAAAAACACTTTTTTAGAGACGTGTGTACTATATATTCAGCTTGAACATCCGATTTACAATGTAGAAGTCAAATCCGCTTATGAAAATGTTTGTACTGATAAGAATTCCAAAGCGGAACAAAGAATATATGACGTTCATTAAACGTCTAAAAACAAAATACGTTCGTCCAAATACCTACATATACATATGCATATAAATGCTTGCAGAAAATATGTGCCAATCAGCATTCCAATTGACCTATAGCATACCACCCCCTAAGATGCAGCACAACGGAGCACTACAGGGAATTGTAGTCAAGTTGTCGAGTACAAAGTCGGCGGTAAATTTCTTACCATTTTCTTACACAACCAAAACGTTGTGTGGAAGTTATTGTTAGTAAATTGTACGCAACATTTGATCACAAGTGTTGTTGAGGATTTCGATGCAATTTCCGATTTAAGATTTTCAGCAACTTATAGCAAACGTGGCTGAGTGATAAATTGTCGACAACTCAACGTCATATTGGTTACAACTACTGACGGGTAGTTTGTTGTTTTGGTTCAGATGGTGTGCACGTGATTAAACCGATATCAATACAGTTCTCAGCAAAATACAGCTATGAAACTGCTGAGAGACGAATTTTACCATTAATCCTGAGTTGGGCTTCAACCGCCTAAAAGATACAAGGTTGTACAGTTGATCATGTAGTTGTTTATCTAGGCTCGCGTTGGATTGTTGCTGGACAAGCTCTCGTAGCACTTAGTCGTGTAAGATCTTTAGACGGTATTCGGATTGAAGAACTTGTTTGCTCCAAGTGAACAGGGAAAACCCCATGCAACAGTGAAACTTTAGACGAAATGACTAGTTATGAAATAGTTCGTAAAACATTTCAATACTACCGCATGTCCGCGAATAATTAATTGATAAAACAAACTAAAAAAAATATACAAACCATGCCTTTTTACCTAATCGAACTAAAAAGTAGAAAATAATTTTTAATTACGAAGAGTTTATATTATAGTAGTAGCACATCAAACAATCAATCATAATTAATTAATTTCAAATAAAATTATAATAAAATTAAAGTTATTAAGAGAAAAACTCAATTCAGAGTAAAAAGCGTGGTGTACTTGATATATTATTATGAGATTAAAGTTATAAAAAACTGGTAAAAAGTTATGAAAAAATAGCATAAAACTGAATTATCCCCTTAATAACTTTAATTTTATTATAATTTTATTTTAAAGTAATTAATTATGATTGATTGTTTGATCAGCTACTACTATAATATAAACTCTTGGTAGTTAAAAATTATTTATACTTTTTAATTCGATTAGGTACAAAAGCGTGTTTGTTTTTAAACTATTATTCATTACCCATTATATTTTGTATTGCAGTAGCGAATAAAACAAGTGCGAGTTAATATGTGTGTACATTCCTCGACGAGTATTCTGAAATCGGAGTCATCTGAGGGCAACGAATCAAACGAAAGTATTAACACGGCGAGTTAAAAAAAAAAAACAAATGAGATAATCTTCTTTTAAATGTGTATACGTTATACGTTGGCTGATAACGAGCCCACAATTGCGTAGATACATATATGTAGTTAAAATATAATTCACATACATACATATAAATATTATGAAGCTTTAGTATACAATACAATAAATTACAATAAAGTTTATTAAGTTTGCCACGAAGTTTTTAGGAAAGCGTCGCAGACCCTATAAAATATATACATATGTAAATAAATAATCTGCAGCGCGAGCTGAGTTGATTTAGCCACGTTAGTCTGTCCGTCTTTATTTCTTAGACCGGACCACTATAGCATATAGTTCCCATAAAAAATGATCACTCAAAATCAAGTTCTCACATGGAAAACTTTTTTATTTGTGAAGGATGTTCTAGCTTCGGTGTTAACAAAGTTAACGTTTTTTCTTGTTTTTAAATTAAAAACAAAAATTATATAATAGATTATGTGTTTTTGCAGATTCATTACAACGTTCTCAAAAAACGAAATATAAATAATTTTTGGAAAAAATCGCAATAAATTACGTACATAATACAATTATCTCCAATCTGCGTCTTGATGTGGTAACAATGCTTTTCAAACTCATTAAAAGAGCTGTTTCTTGATAATTCGCTTAATATTTTTATCTAAAATTTTATGTATTGGGCCATATAATTTCATATTTATGGTTGATTTTGATTTGATAGCTCGTTGTAACTTTTAATCCTATCAGGTCTATGTTCGACTCGAAATACCTCCCAAAGTGGGCTTAGGGATACATTCTATCTTAAAAGATATCTTCTGACCGAGGCATGAATATAAAAAAGTAAGGATTTTAACTAAGGTCACGTTATTTTGTGAGATTATTTGTTTTCATATGAAATATATTTAAAGTGTTTTTAACTTATAACTGTGTAACGATATGTTCTTGTATTACGCTGCAGATTTTTAAATTCGATTACTTTTACATGGAAAACCGATTCGTTATGCCACTCCTTCAATTTCGATAAATTTGGTGGATTTTTTCTTTATACTTCATATAACGGCTCTGTTTTTGTAGAGGCGTAAATAAACTACAGAACAATTTGGCGCAAGTACCTAACGTCATTTCAATAGTATATTACCAACTGCAATATTTAGTCGTTTTATTTATATAATTTTTCTTTTTGTCCATTAGACCTATATAAGGAAAATGATTACTAAAGTTTTTGGAATCTCTGCAACTCTGGGAGTGCGAAGTAGGAAAAAATGTGTTGCGTTTTTTAAGCTGTTGATTACATATGTGCATACAAATTTTTATTACAGATTTGGCTATACGTAATTTGGCAAGGACATCTAGTAACTTATGCCGCCTTAATATAACACAACGAGAAGTTTTTCAATGTTCTATCAAAAGTTGCTTGATATCCAAAAATTTTCAGATCATAAAGTTTAGCACAGAAAACTCACACCGAAAACCAATACCGTCCGTACAATATAATGATATCAAGGAGTTACCGAATCATCCTGAAAAGTTATTAATTGATGTTCGAGAGCGACAAGAATTAGAAGAAACAGGGAAAATTCCAACAAGTATAAATATTCCGTTAGACTCTGTAGTACGGGTATTGGCAGAGGACGTTAGACCTCAAATGTTCCTGTCCAAGTATGGTCGCCGAAAGCCTAATTTTGATGATGAAATAATTTTTACATGTAGGCTTGGAAAACGTGCCTTAAAAGCTGCAGAAATAGCAAATGCGATGGGATTTACAAATGTAAAATTTTATGAAGGATCATGGGAAGATTGGGCGAATAATGAAAAAAAAAGTAATAATTGAAGCAAGATTGTTTTGACGAATTGTAAAAATAGAATTGACTACTCTTGTTTGATACAAAGTCTTGTCTAAATTATACGATATTATGCGTTAAATAATCCAACCAAATAATGTACATATATTTATTAACCGCTCTCTTTCGTTACATAACATATGAAAAGTTTGACTATGGATGTAAAAGAAGAATCTAAACTGATGAATACAGTTTATTTTAAAAGTTTCTTTCTCTAAATTTGCAGCAAATGGAGTGCAAGCTTATAACATGCGTGAATATAAGAATTTTGCATTTACATGAACAATCTTTGCATTTACTTCTAACGAAGAAAGTTTTAAAACTAATGTTAACTATGCACATTTCTGTAATGAAATAAATAGCACTGCTTTGCTTTCAAATAAGAAAAAATTTGCATTTAAATTCTTCAAATAATTTATTTCTAAGGCTAATTCATATTTGCCCTTGCTTTGTCAATCAACTTCTAATTTTCTGTTGATTGTTCTTGTACAACAATATATGTATATTTCTTAAGAAAATAATAAGTGCGAAACAGATTTAAATTTGTGTACATAGAAATAGCATTTAGCGCTAACTTATAAAAAACTACTGTATGTATGTACAATATGTACATAAGCCTGATATTGTAGAAAAATAAGTACAGATTTGAGGTAAACAACTTATTAGCATTGACAGAATCGCACAAAACATGTATTTGTGTCTTATTAGTTTTATTTTATTTTGTTCCAACGATGTTAATGATATGCAAAAACAATTAAAAATGGGTAAAGGCAAAACGGCTATCACTATTTTCCGTTCTCTGCTATCTTAAATATAGTTAGATATGGCATCACTAAATGTTTTTTTAAATCCGCCCTACAATATATCAAACATGATAAGGTTTTCATAGCAGAAATACTTTTAGAGGTCTTACCAGAGAATTTTAATATTAAATTAATATTAAGTTAACATGCTCTGATTTTACTATAATGTCTAATTCGGTACGGTCGGTATTTAAAGTAATAATCTATCGATTGGTAGTCAAAAGCTCAATGAACCAACCCGGTGCTCAATGATTAAAAGTATCGACTATAAATGATACTATCGGCTCATCGTTATTGACCCTTGTTATCAAACTTCAGAAAAGTACCTTTAAGTTTAAATAATACCTCGTGCGGCTGCTTACTTGTACAATATTTAGTATTGTAGATGACTGGAGTAAAATTAAATAAAAAGTAATTGCAACTTTTTAATCAGTTCTCTTAAAGGAAGTGGTCGTGTCAGATGACATTTTTTGAGTAGTAATTAACAAACACATATGACCCAATAACATACATATTTTGGATATACATATACTTCTGGCCGGTTAGAAAATATATTACCTGTATGATAAGGAAAATATTTGATTCTAGTCAACTTTAACAAACAAAAGTGAGTACATATATGTACCTATTTTTAACCTACTTACACTTATATTCACCTGAGAAATTCGCCGACCTTTGATGCATGGAATGGATATTTTATGTTCGTTATATATGTACATACATATATTTGTTTAATATAAAACCAAACCTAAAGGTTAACTGAATATTGTTGAAATACGAATTAGGTATTTGGGAGTTTATTCATTCGAGATAAGATAGTTACTATCACAAAATCTGTTCATTGACTATCTACAGCCTAAATTCGTTTTAGTCCAAAGTGCGTTCACGTTTTTATTTTAATTTTCTTTTGAAACTATGAACCCATTTATATGCATATACAAGAATTTTAGAATGATTCGATTATTATTGATATATATAATACATATCTGGGCTTATAATTAAATAATGGCAATTATGTTTTTTTTACGTCAACTCTGTAGTAAACCATCATGACTACCCTGCTTCCTGGAAATATCGTCTATGCTGGACCAATTACATGCACTGAAACACATGCATACAAGTCCTTAGGACATTATATTCTCGAGAAATATAAGAGTCAAGGTACCCAAACAATAATGATTGACGCTGTAACCGGACAAGAGTATACGGCTAAATATATGTATGACTCCGTTGTGCGCATGGCTCATGTATTGCAACATTTAGGTATCGAAGCTGGAGATGTTGTAGGATTGTCTAGTGAAAATAATGTACGTTTCGCTATTACCTTGTATGCTTCATTCGCCATTAACGCTGCGGTTGCTCCCCTAAACGTAACTTATTCTGAACGTAAGTAAATCTCATTTTTATACTTGTAGTCTGAATAGGGTATGTGAATTATGCCAAAAAGTTTGTAACGCCCAGAAGGAAACGTCGGAGACCCTATAAAGTGTATATATATATGATCAGCATGACGAATTGAGACGATCTAGTCGTGAACGTCTGTCTGCATATATGCGAACTAGTTAGCCCCTAAGTTTTTGAGATATCGATCTGAAGTTTTGCACACGACCTTTGCTCTCCAATAAGCTGCTTATTAGTCAGAAGCACTATAGCATATATCTGCCATATAAACTGACTGTACGGAAAACGTTTTTATTTGACGAGACATCTTTACGAAATTAAGTTCAAATTATTGTTTAAAGCAACAGTAAAATCTCCGAATAAATTTTTCAGATCGGATCACATCAGCATATAGCTGCCATACAAACTGAACGTTCAAAATCAAGTTCTTGTATAGAAAACTTTTTTTTGACGAGATATCTGCACGAAATTTTGCATAGATAATTTTCCACGGCAACGGTACAACTTTCGAAGAAATTGCAATACAAACTGATTTATCAAAATCAAATTGTTGTATGGAACCTTTGGTATTTGTGAAGGGCCAAAGTTAACGTTTTTTCTTGTTTTTATAATTATTTACATACATACATGTATATGCTTATTTATTGGTTGATATCAAAATATACCATATCTCTGCTGCAGGCGAAGTTCATCACGCAATTAACTTGTCTAAGCCGAAAATAATATTCGCTTCAAAATTTACAGTAAATGTTATTGAAAAAGTGGCAAAAAATAACAGTTTCGTAAATTCAATTGTTGTATTTGACACTAATAATTCAAATGACAAAATTTTAAATTTTGATGAGCTTATGAACAGTACAAAAATTATATCAAAAGACTACTTTGATACGCCGACAGCGAATAAAAAAGATGATGTCGCACTGATAGTCTGCTCCTCTGGCACCACCGGCTTGCCGAAAGGAGTGCAACTAACACAACAAAACATTCTTTCTACACTGGATTCGAATCTGTAAGTTTAATCAAATTTTAATCGCTCTTTGCGAACTAAATATAATTTTTGAAATTTTTAATAGTGAACCTACATCTATTCAAATGGGGGAGGCTACATTACTCACAGTTATACCCTGGTTTCACTCATTTGGCTGCCTTACATTAATTACAGCAACAGTTTTAGGAACCACCTTAGTGTACTTGCCTAAATTTGAGGAACACCTTTTCTTGGGAGCCATTGAGGTGAATAAAGGCTAACTGAATTATGTTAATTAATATATGATATAGTAATTCCAATAAAAAATGTTGAATCTTGAGAAGGTAATTTTTGTCATCGAATAGGTTAAAATCGGCTACTCTCACAAGATTAATACGATTTAATAAAATTAAATAAATATATTTTCCTTAATATTAATATGTATATTCTAGAAATATCGCGTTTTGATGGCGTTTATGGTGCCGCCATTAATGGTATTCTTGGCTAAACATCCACTTGTGGATAAATATGATTTGTCATCACTGATGGTTTTGCTCTGCGGTGCAGCACCACTTAGCAAGGAGACTCAGGATTTGATTACAGAGAGGTAGGTTTGGGTGAAATAAGAAATTTGCTTTGAAAATATTTTATATTTTTGTATGCACCACAGGATTGGAGTGCCTATCATTCGTCAAGGTTATGGTTTAAGTGAGTCGACGCTTAGTCTGTTGGTACAAAATGATGGGGCTTGCAAACCGGGAAGTGTGGGCAGCGTTAAATTGGGTATTTACGCTAAAGTTATTGATACCGAAACTGGTAAAACTCTTGGTCCCAATCAACGAGGCGAACTGTGTTTCAAAGGCGATTGTATTATGAAAGGTTACGTAGGGGATACTAAATCTACGCAATCTATGATACAAGATGGATGGCTGCATACCGGTGATATTGGTTATTTTGACGACGATTTCGAGTTTTTCATAGTGGATCGAATTAAGGAACTCATTAAATATAAAGGTTTCCAAGTGCCACCAGCAGAAATTGAAGCTTTATTGTTGACACATAGAAAAATTAAAGATGCGGCAGTCATTGGAAAGCCGGACGAAGAGTCTGGAGAATTACCGTTGGCATTTGTTGTTAAACAACCGAATGCTGTGCTAAGCGAAGATGATGTTATTAAATTTGTAGCAGAGAACGCGTCGCCAGCGAAACGCTTGCGTGGTGGTGTAATTTTCGTCGACGATATTCCAAAAAACCCGAGTGGTAAAATTTTACGTCGCGAGTTAAGAGAAATGCTCAAAAATCGTCAATCAAAACTATAAAGTTTCTGCTTCGTTTATAGATACATATGATATGTACGCAAAAATAAAATAACTTGCATTTAATTTTTTAATAAAATTTGAGGTATAGGGAAGCAACCTTTTTACAAGGGTGAAAAACGGAATGAAATATTTATGATTTTGCATATGGTTACGTCGTTTATTGATTATGAGGTGTAGCTTAATTATAAAATTCTAAACTAAAAACGGATTATAATGGATATGAGTATTTTAATATTAATTAAAAATAAAAAAGGACGAAAATGGCATACCACTAATGTTTCTTTATTGGCAAGTATTGGAAAGTATTTTTAGATTTTTAATCGGAGCTAATAAGCAATTATGATGAAATCAATTGGAAAGTTTTACTTCTATTTGCGTTTTCTTTCTTACCTCACTTACAAAAAAAAAACTTACACGAATGTGTTGATATCGCATTAATTTTTCGATATACCCATAAGTGCTAAAACTAAAACAATAATGAAAAATGTATAAATGAGCAAAATTATTTATAACTACTTTATTTGACATTCCTAAAATTGAGTTTACACATGCAAAAGAATATATGTATTGTAGTTACAATATGAATATAACACTGTAACTTTTATTGAATTTTAAACACTTTTGCGAATGATGAATGGTTTTTTTTATTTTTTTCTTCTGAGGTTTTAAATAATACTTAAGACAGTTTGGAAGAACACTGATTGCATGTTGCCCAAGGTGTTAGTTTATTAAGACACAGGTAGACAGGTTTTCTACGTCAATTTGCTTAAAATTAATTTGAATCCACACAGGCATATTCAGAAAATTTACTTTATATATATGTAATATGTAATTTTGTATATATGAAGGTATTTGTGTAATTTATTTATTCGTTCTTTAACAAGTTCATCGGAATTTTACGATATTACACGCTTTAAAATTTTTATTCTCGTAACAATTACATAGCTTAACATTTAAAGTTCTTCATTCGAACTACGAGCATAACAGCTACGTGTATATATACATATAAACATATGTATATATGTATACAAAAGCAGTGTGAGCAAACTTACATTGAATAATAGAAAAAATATCGAGAAAAAAGCATTTATTGTTCGATGTTGTCAATTCGTATACAAGGACATCTATTTTTTTAATTTTAATAAATGCGCCAAATTAATTTGCTTTCCCTGCTTTGACTATAGTTTAAAATATATATAACTAAAATATACAAAAGTTTTCGGAAAATTGGGAAATTGATTAGATACAAGCAAATAAACGAATTAAAAATTACTAATTTAGAGATTTATGTGAATTCAATAAATTTGAAATCATACTTTTACAAGATTTGTGAGTATTCATTCATAACATTTTAATATTTTTGTAAAATATTTAATTATTTTTGTAAAATATTTATTCATTTTATTTCGGCTCTAAATTTCTAGATTTATGTTTTTAAATAGCGATTTATCCTCAGGCAAAACCATTACTCGAAACTAAAATACTTGCAAAGACTTGCTGGTGCACTGAAAATTACTTATTTGACATGAGGCATGAACTGCATGAAATATTAAATTTATGCGTGTGTTACATATAAAAAGATTTAGCGAATTTCTAACGATTTAACAAAAAAAAAAAAAAATCGTTACACAAAGCAAAAAACATGAAAAAATTATAAGGAAAAATGTGTATTTGTTGTCATTCAATAATATCTATGTAAAGTAAATAAATAACCAACATTCAAGAGACACGAGTCAAAAAATCTACTTTCATTAATAACAGATAATTTTTATGTTTTTTTTTGTTTAGCTGATTGTCAGCGATCAAAGAGGAGTCTATATTATAACATCTGGTTGAAACACTTCGGTCTTCTATTCTACCACAGTTTCAAATCACATTCACCTAAGCTAATCCAATACATGATTACACAGTAATCTCCATGCGATTTGCTTTGCGTGTAACTTTTGGTTGAGATTGCACCAAATCGGACATCCCACCGTATTTAAATGAGAATATAATTGTTTGTTGACCGAAATTGGCTTCAAATCTGTAATGTATAATATATGCTATTTAACATGCCTCCCTAAAGCATATAATAAATTACAGCTTACTCGGTACTAATGTGTATTTCTGGTGGTTTTCCTGTGGCATTTTGTATGACAAGAAACATTTTGGTTACAATTTCGATGACATGCCCCGTTTGTAAAACAAAATCACCCTTTTTACGTCCAAACTCAGACTAGAGAGAAAGAGAGAGGAAAAATTAGAAATTCACATCTTTGAAGTACGTGGAAACATCTACCGCTTTGACGTGAAATACAGCAATGTCATCTAGATACGGGCTCAAAGACATGCGATAAATCTCCGATGCAGGCACGCGATATTTGATTTGCAACGTGCGTTGGTCCAGCAAAAGTAATGACGACGTTGATAATACCAACAAAATTGGTACGAACTATGATTTTAACGATATATTAAAATATATAATATTAGATTAGTTGCACTTATATAAATATATGTTGTCCTACCTTCCCACTAGAGCGCGTTATTTTATTGATAATGTCAGCGAATACCACATATTGATCATTCGTTTCCACGCACATTTTTTTCCATTGTTGGTTATGCCGCAGTCTTACATAATCGCCCACAAATGGGTGACCCACACTGTATGAATAAATTTGCATTTAAGTTCGTATAAAATCAAGAAAAACCGTTAACTTCGGTTGCACCGAAGCTTTCAGGCATTATATAAATCCTGGGATTAATATAATATAAATAGGATTATATAATGCTATCAGGGGTGTTCTAGAATCTGATAGTTGTCGGAATCAGAATTGAAACCGATAAAAAAAAAATGTAGTTTAACACACAATGCGTCTTTATTCAGTCGATATTGTGATATAAATCTGTAAAGTAAGCATGTATACAAACATACATACAAGCAAATACAAGTAAAATTTCAAATACGACTCCCCGGGTTTGGATTCAAGTGGATTACTGTGATCTTTTAGAATCTTCCTTTAAATTGTTTCATTGCTTTTTTCTTTAAATAAAATAAAAGCTAAAATAGCGCAACTATTATAAACTTTAGTAGACTCTATTCAGTATTTGAAATTTATCAAACGATTCCAAATTTATTCATTTGCAAGTGTTGTCACAATAGTAAACAGCTGATTTGAATATTGGTTTTGCACACTTATGTTCGAAAAGACGAAAATCCAATCAGATTCTGTGAAGCCATTGACTACCAAATCTATCTTGGACTCCACCAGTCGTGCATAACACCTTTTAGAAATAAACAGCTTTCCATACAATTATTTGTTTTTGATAGATCAGTTTGTATGGCAGCTATATATGTATATAGTCTTCTGACAAATGAGAAGCTTGGGGAGAAAAGGACGTGTGCAACATTTTAGTTCAATATTTCAAAAACTGTGGATCAAGTTCGCTAATTACAGACAGACAGACGGACATAGTTAAATAGACACCACTTCGCGGCAAGGCATAAAAATATTTATGAAAATATTAGGAGCTCACCTCCGTGAGTATGATGCTTTGCGATCCTTAAAGATAATACTGGCAGTAACTTTTTCGCGCATACGGTTGCGTGAGGTCTGATCAAAAGAGCTGCGGTAAATATAGCATTTCCACCGATGGTAGATGGCACGAAGTAGTCTTGATGTTTCAGCTAGAAATTTTGGCGCTGTTGGCCATTCTGTAGAGAGCGGACTTAATGTGTTTGGTGGCAATCGCATCGGTATGGTTAGCAGAAAATGCCGAATTTTCCAATGTCGGTAATATCTGGATATAATATCGACAGCCCAATGCACTTGGCGTTTATACTTCATAACCGTATATTCTTTGCGTGCCTAAAATTAAAAAAAAAAAAAAATCGTTCAAAATGCTATTACCATGCTAAGTGAATGTTGTTTAAATTTGATAACAAGTTTTGCTAGTGTTATGCTTACACTTCTATAGAGACTCCATAGGTGTCTTCGGCCCCTAAAGGGAATGCTAAAGCGACATTCCTTTATAATTAAACAGCACATGCATCAGAAACAATCAAAAGCGAACAACGAACTATTAACACACATGTATGATAACAAGTTTTTACACATGTATCTACGAATTATATATGGTAGATACATATGTATGTATATAAATTCAAATATGCTGTAAATAATACCATAAACAATACTTTAACTTTAACAACAACGAATAACCTTGAAACTCTAAAAACAAAATATTTTTAATATAATCATAAAAGTGACTTTAAACAGCAAAGCAAAAGATTATTAATAACATTGTAACTGCTAATAATATATGAATACAGAGTAGCTAATTCTTTTTATTTATTTTTCTATTGCTTAAAAGTTTTGCTACATATATACTCACACACAAGAAACTACTGCAAAGGTTTGTGATCATTAGCACAAGATTTACTCACCCGCCATGTGCGCCAAGCGCTCGCAATTATAATCTGGCTTTGACGCATGCGCAAAAAATGCTTTCGAGCCACATACATACGAAATTTAGTCTGGATCAATATAGCTAATTCATTGATGCGCTCTCTGCGAAATTGTTCCAATTCATATTCGGTGCGCGGACTGCGCACAAACACGTTTTTCGTGCCGATTGTAAATTCCGCCGCCGGTAACGGTAAATTGCGTATAATAAGCGCAACACCTTCCACAATGCTGCAACCGGGGGCATTGTCTGCACTCACATTGCCACGATAATGCGGCCAAGTTGAGCTATTCAGCAATTTGTAGCGATTGTAGAATTTTGCATGCGGCAAATGGAAACAATGTCCCGTGCGGCAGAGATGCACCAACGGCATTAGAGACATATAACGCACCTGATGTTGCACCAATGCCAATTCAAAGGTATGCGATTGCTTGCATTCATTCGGTTTTATACAGAACACATAGTGGGAACGCCGATTCTTTATTATGGCTAATAACGTATGCAATTGGGTACGAACGTTAGAACTTAGTGTTGTTGGCTTACGGGTCACTTGGCGTCGAGGATTGCCTGAAAGAGAGTGTGTTACAAGTTAGTTGTTAGGTTTTAAAATAAACAATGAAAAATAATACTGAATAACATAGATTTTGGCCCATATTTTTATAATACAAAAAAAAAAAAAAACGTCAACCTCGGTTGTTGCAAAGCTATAATGTATTTCACGAATAACAAAGTTTCCACACAAGAACTTCATTTTGATTGGTCAGTCTGTATGGAAGCTATAAGCCATAAGGTGTGCGATCTGAACAATGTGTTCGGATATTG